AAATGTTAAGGCAGCCATTTTGGACTTTTTTGATTTTGCCTCAATTAACAAATTGATAACTTAATACATGTACAGTCTGGCAGAGATGCAAAGGGCAGAGTTCTTAGTTCATGTTTATTCTGGTATTATATTCTGCCAGCGTTGAGAGATGAAATTTTTGGAACTGTAACTTATGATTTCATAAATTACGATCATACTAAAATTGAATACCTGATTAGTAATAGTGCTAATAAAAACAAGGAGTCGAATCATACAATTATACATGTAGTTTATTTCATAATTGACGTATTGGAAAATACAATTCATTTGCTTATGGCATTCCGAGTTGCAGCCGCAGAAGTGCTCAGTCAGCTCTATCTTATAATGTTTACCTGTTAATCATATAGACCATTAGACTGGCTGTAATACATTATATGATTTACAGGTATATGATAGTGCCCACTGTGCATAAATGCCTCTAGCATCAGCAACTCAAAATATTAAATCACAATACATAAATAAAAATAATACATATACATAAATACAATATCCAACTTTGAAATCTTAAGTGTTTTATTTTATTATGCTGTTCATTATCAAGGAGATTCTCTTTGTTATTATCTATGTTGCATTTAAATTCAAATTTTCGATTCTGCCTACAGAAAAACCTAAAAAAACTTTTTGAACAACCCTTGTATATATGAACACCTTAAGTATGAACAGCTTTCAATGAGAACACTTTCTTGGTCCATTTTTTGTTTTTTTAATCTGCCAGGGACTTCCATGTTAAAAACCTCAAATCCAAAAACAGTAGATTTTGGAAATACGATATCTTACTTTGGACCTTCTGGCCCCTAATTTTTTTTAAGGATATTCCCCATATCTAGAAGTAAGAATCACATATTTAATGCATCATATTGATTATTGTGTACTGAAAATAGTGATGGTCCATTTTAATCAAAATTTCATAACCTGCGACTTATTTACTACCCTGCGTGCAGAGTCTAGTTAAACTACACCCACCTTAAAAGAGAGCTTCGTCTTTGGTATAACAAGACGAAGCTCTCTTTTAAGAAGTGAAGTCGAACGAATGCAAAGGGTATTATTTACTCACGTTCTTGTATGTTATGAATTATCAAATCTCATTACATACAGTTTTTAAGACTTTATTTGTATATGAATATTGTACAATATAATATACGTAATATAATATAATACAATATAATATAATATGATACATACAATATAATACTCGGGGTCCGACGTCTTCTGTGTTTCATGTTACAAAAGCCGTGAGCTACAAAGTATAATGGATAAAGTTCACTGTTTCTACACTGAATGAGCACAAGTTTTCCAGGAGTATTAGGGCAAGATATACAAGAGATCATAGCATTATTACATGATGGGGAGTGTGATATCTTGAAATATCGTCTCAAGGAAAAAATATTACATGAGACATATAGCAGAGTGATATTTTATATTATCCTACACTTAGTGTACTAAATGTATAATAACATTAAAAAATAAATTTGAAATTTATTGGCAAAATGAATATCTGGAGGATATCGTAACGATATACTCCGGGCGGATGATATCGTGACGATATACTCTGAAAAACCCAATATCGTAGGATATTGTGACGATATACTCCGCTTGATGATTTCCCGCCAAACTGACTCGGCATGAAATTCATTTTGCAATGATATTATACATTTAGTACACTCCTTGTAACTGTAGGATGATAAGAACATCCTATGATTTTTTTCAGAATATCATTTTAATCTACTTGGTGATAATGATATATGCACTCGTTCGCTTCTCTCTCTCTTGCAGATATCAATATCACCTCGTAGATAAAAATGATATTCCTCAAAATCATAGGATATCCTATAATTATGTAACACTCCCCATCTCCAACAAATGTGTTTATCACGCAAAAATGTATTATCACAACATTTAAAGGTGGCATCAGATCTAGTAGAGTATAGTAGTCGTAATGACAATGATTGTTTTGTTTTTAGAACATTTTAGGCTCATATCATTCCTTGTCATGTCTATTTTATAAAAATCCCCAAAGTGTACACTGTATTTGAGGAAAACTAAAGATTCCTATAATAATGCATTCATTTTTTATAAATATGATAACCATCTTTATCATTTAGGAGAATTTAAACATTCTTTCACTTGGAAACTTTAACAACTTCACCAATTTATAACATATCTGGTTCTTATGGGAGATATTATATTTAAGATTCCAAGGAATATACTGGTAGGTCAATTGTTCACATTGCTTTACATTTTGTCACCCCCTATAGATCTGATTCTGCCTTTAAGTACATATTATATACACAATTCTTGGAAGGTGTCTGGAACACCCTTTGATAACATATCGTAATTCTATTTCTTAAAATAAAAGAAATTAGTATTGGCAACTAGCATTGGCAATCCAAGATTTTATTCTCTCTTTTCTTTACTGCCTCTTTAAACAGGCCCGCAGCCAGGTAGTTGGGGGAACCCCCTTGTAAAATCATGCAGTTTTTCATCATTCTGAGCACTTTTCAAGTAATTTTGGGCAAAGTTCTGAACTTTGAACCCTCTCTGGAATTTTTGGAAAAGTGAACCATCCCTTTGGCTAAGCTGGATATGGGTCTGGTATATATTCCAATTTATAAAATTGCCCAGAGTCTTTTAACCTTATAGGGTTACTAAAAGTTGTCTAATGATTTGATTATTGACATTTGTATTATCATGGGCTTTCAACTAGAAGGGTATGCAACTCTATGTAATAACATGAGACCTTCAAAATGAGCAATGACATGCTTCCCTTTTATGGCAATATTTCAAAAAGTATTAGATAAATGTATATGTTTTAGTATTATTTTGAATAAAAATCAATTTTTAATATGATTTAAGCATAACATATATTCAATATCATATAAAAGTAAGCAAAAGAGACCAATAAGAATAAGAGTTATCAAGATGTTCTCTTTGAGTATTGCATTGTGGGTAATTATTCAAGAACACATTCCAATAAAAAGATAATTTGTGGGAGAATGTTCACTTTCTGTATTGTCATGATTAGGATGAATTCCAATTTTTATTAAATTATCAAGATGTATGTTGAAGATCATGTTTTTATTTTTGAGTTATTTCTTTTAATCATCAATAAAAAGTACACAATAAGATTTTCTTGGAATGTGTACATTCTCCAATTTCGAAAACCCATGGCAATGTTTATGTATGAAATATGGGAAGTTGCCTACCCTTCTAGTTGAAAGCCCATGGTATTATACAATATGTAAAAATACATCCCGATGACAAAAATAAATATTTTTTAATCATATGTTTGTGAAGTATGTGAACATTATTTAAAGCCCTAATCAAATTCCATCTAAATTGTGCATTTATCCAGTATACAATTTATTTACCAGAACATCTATATTATACATGTGTATGTATATATTTATAGGTATATTTATAATTCATAACTATTATAATTTATAAATATATGCTTCAGTTTATATGCTAAAATATACATTTCTTCCAATGTAAATAACTTTTCTTTCTTCATTTTTATATACCCTCTGTGAATTAAAAATGTGCATGGTACTTAATCAATCATATCTTTTTTAGTTCTATTAAGTTTATCTCTCTGGTTTATATATATACTAAAACAACTTTCTTCATTTCTTTTTTTATTAGATCAAGGCTTCTGACTTGTATCCTCGAGTCTTTTTCAAGATTTAGAAATGAACAAAGTTGTAAAGTAAGTATTTTAAATCTTGAAAAAGACTTGAGGATACAAGTCGAAAGCCTTGATTTAACAAAAAGGTTCTCTGAAGAAATGAATAAAGTTGTTTTAGTATACATATATATTTCTTTTGTTTTCTCTATTGTAACACCAAAGGAACAATAAATGCATGCATAAACCTGTTGGAGAAAATTTCAAAGAATTTCATGAATATGGTTAAAAGGGAATGTTTCACAAAACTGTCATTGTGTTATTTTTATCATAAATTGATATGAGAAAGCTATACATGAACAGCATTTTGTTCAATAAGAGGATCTTTAAAATACATGTAGAAAATTTAAAATTGTCAGTTAAGTTTAGAACAATGCACAATTCTAAAAAGTTTTTAACCCAATAAAATTTTGTAAAAATATCAGTTAGCAGAATGAACATCTGGTGAAAAACCAACAATTTTTTTAAATAAAATTTGAGTTAGTATCTTTCATGATTCAGAAGTCTCTCCTTAATTTAAAATTAGGAAGTTTGCTTGTTTTAACCTTTTCGACCATTATATATTTATTCACAATTCAGTTAATCACAAAGAGTGAAGTAAAAAAAAAAATTGAAATTGTCATGATTGAAAAAGACCATGCACCTTAGTAACAGATGGTATTTAGAGGTTATGTCACTATCGTGGCATATATGCCCGAGGTCTCAGTGATATATGGCCTGACCTTGGGAGGGACTTTGATCTCTGAGAACCGAGGGCATATGTGCCACGATAGTGACATAAACGATTTATAACATACCTATGATGATGTAGACTGGTCAAAGAGTACCGTTTTCTTATAGAATTGACAAACAAATGGTTGGAAAATGATTGAAATGAGTTTAGAAAAATTGCTCTCGCAGTTTTATCTTCGATTGATTGGTTATGACATCAGCGCCTTGACCAATCAGAAAGTTAGCGGGCGCAGGCTTTTCAAAACTTATATTGGCCCGCTGTCTTGTGTACACTTTGCACTATACATCATCATAGGTATGTTATAATATAAGTTATTGAATGATTTGAAGTGCAATACAGGATATATTATATTCAAGAAATTTTGTATTGGAACGAGACGAAGTTGAGTGCCAATACAGAATATCGAGACAGAATATATCCTGTATTGCACTTCAAATCATTCAATAACGATCCTCTGTATTGCTACTGAGATTGTCCCCTCCATACCAATATTTTCTGTATTGCGACGGAGATGGTCAACGGGGACAACCTCAGTAGCAATACAGATTGGTACAGCACAAGAACTGACCAATCAGAGGGCTTCATTTTACAGATCATACGATAAATATTTTTATTAACTCTGATGTCAAAGCAATGACATATTTGGTCATAACAACATACAACATACAAAACTAAATCTAAGCTAAAATGAGACATCAGGACTAAGCCATGTTTGTTGGACCATCTATTAGAGTCTCTTTATTTGCTTCTTCTGCTTCATTATCATGAACATCACCTTCGGGTGGAGACTCTTTCACAAGATATCGTCTTACAAGCGGTTCAAATAAAATCACGATCCCACCAAGCAGGATGGATGCCCCACATAATCTGAAGGATGAGTTATAGCTATTCGTGACGTCCCGCAACCAACCTACAAGCATACAAAAATACACTGTGCATATATTTAAGTAACTAAGGTAATATAGAGTATTGATTTCTACTGAAAGTATTTAATGTATTTATTGAATTCATGCATCTTAATTTCTATTGTGGGAAAAACAAATATCATATCAAATGTCTCTCTGTGAGTCTAGAAATAACTTGAATAAACATGGAATCTTGCAGTTAAAATGTTCGATGCAAAGAGTGATTTACTTGTAGGAGAAATGAATTGAAATTTGCGTCACTTGTATTAAAATAACATGTATACCTATTGAGCATATACTATCTATCCAGAAGATAAATACAATAAATATTTACCCAAGAAAGGTGGTCCGACCATTGACGATGAACCAAACAGCATGAGGGTCAAGCCAAACCCGCTAGACAGTTTCTCCACACCCAGAAAATCCACAAGTACCACGGCAAGAAGGGCAACAAACGTTCCTCCAAACATCCCAACAAAACTAATATACACCGCCATTCCCTCAAACGTTTTGATCAATGGGACGAATAATCCTGCGATTCCAGTAAATACCATACTAATTGACATTATATGTGAGCGTTTGATGATTCCTAAATCAGCCACCCATCCGCAGAAAATGCGTCCAATAAGATCTGTAGCTCCCATTATAGCCATCAACAATGCCTGATTGTCTTTTGAGATGCCGATATCATTGCAATATGGCGGGATAAACAGAAATTGATTGGCGTAGAAAAAATTCCCGAGTAATGCAGAGATAACAAATATGACGAATAACGGATTGCGAAATAATGAGCATTCAAATAATGGCGGATTGGAGTTATCTATTTCGCTTGAGCACGTACATAACCAACTAAAACGTGACCTTGAGATTTTAAGGTCAGTTATATCCCCTTCTTGATTTGATTGTCTGTCTGATATTTGTTGAAGAGACGCATCAGCTAATGACAAATTACTAGCGTATAAAAATGTTTCATGTTTATTTTTACTTGTACTGACGGGACTGCTATTTTTACTTGTCAGCTTTGGAGATTCAGATCTTGATCCGGATGATGATCGTCGAACTAACTGAACTTTTGAAAAATCATCACAGTTCAAAGTCTCATCCATAGGTGTCGTTAGTGGTGTTGCAGCCTCGATTTGGATTTCAATTTGGTTGCCTTGAGATTCTTTAAGATTTGAGCTTTTTTTACTATCATCCTCCTTAATTACCTTCGCTGACTTAAATGCTGGCTTGACTGGCCGAGCGTAATATGAAAGGGGTCTCATGAGCGCACCCGCAAGTATAATGTTCATCATCAAGCCCCCAAGAACAAGCATCGCTCCTTGGTAGGTGAAGTTATCGATGAGAATACGAAGCAAAGGAGGCAGTACAAACTGTCCCACGCTGCTACCTGCTACTGCGATACCATTGGCCAACGCTCGACGTTTCTCAAAGTACATTGCCACCATTATAATGCTTGGCCCATAGGCTAAACCCACTCCTGCACCTGGAATAAGAGATATGTGAAATTATTTCAAAGCTACTTACAGCAAAGACTCCCTACACTGGTACTTTTATGTTGAATAGGGTCTCAAGAAAATGGAAGAAGTTTAATGCATTTGTTTCAATTATTTACAAAGATATCGATTGATGATTATATTTAATGCAGAGAAATACAGGAGCTGTATGAAAACCTTAGGGATAACAATTAAAAAGATTATCGACTCAGTGGTGCTCAGCGGTAGCACAGGTACCTCTTACGCAATAGGTCCCAGATTTGATCCCCGTTCAGGCAAGACTTAATTTGCTTGTTTGTGTAAAGTACCTCAGGGTGTTTTACTGAGTGGTCTACAACTCGTACAAAAGGCTGTGGTGTGTGGTGTGGCTGTGGTGTGTACTTATATATATACTTATACTCATATGTCTATGTATGGGTGCACATAAAAGAACACAGGGCTCCTTTGAGGAGGGGTTTCTGGGTCCTCTGCCAGGCTAATTGTGTAATTACGACCGTATATAACGGAATATACCCAAGAGGTATTGCTCACCTCCATTGGTGGCAAACAAAATACAATACAAATCAGTCAGCGATATTGTTTTCTAAATTTTTTGTATGTGCACTAATAAGAATGTCTCAATATCACATCCTTTTAAATTTCAATTTGGAACTGTGCGCTCATTGGAAAGAATACGGTTCTATATGCTACCAACACCTACCCATAAGCAGTCCATAAGAGAAGATAATGTAGACAATATTGGTGGCGAATGACGTAAGTATTGGACTCATAGTGCTGAGGATACCACCGACAATGATCACCTTCCTGTGTCCAAACCTCTGGCTCAAACTATTTGCCACTGGAGCTACAAATATAATATCAAAATATATACAGGGTGAAACAAAAAATAGAACGCTAATTTTGGAATACTGGAACTACTAATACATGGTAATATATATACAGGGTGATACAAAAATGCAACTCACTATTTTATGAATACTGGAGCTCCAAATACATGAAAAATATGTACAGGGTGGTATAAAAATGCAGCTTCTAATTTTGGAATGTCAGTTCTTATTTTTGATGGAATTTTCATGAATTTCTTGATTTTGTGTCAACTTTTACATTGTTTTTCACAGGGTCATGCAGAATTTGAAAATATTTGTTTTAATACGATAATCAACCTATTTCCCGTGATTTAAAATGTTGTTATTATTTGTTATAGTTTCTAACAAAAAGTTATTTTATTTACCTCCCAATGAGAAAAGCATTCCCATGACGGCAGCCATCCATGCTGTAGATGCGGTGCTTGAGCGGAATTCTTCAAGGAACTCAACAAAGAGAATACCCAGTGACTTATACGCACCGATCGTGACAAAGTTCATTATGAAGCAACCTGAAAAAAACACACAAATTATAAAATATGCAAGCTCGAAAATCAAATCCTTGCTTTACTAAATTGATTGACATCAGCTGAGTAGAATGTCAGCTGAGTAGAATGAGTAAGTACATATAATGGCTTTTTATTTCATCATTTTACATGCAGATTTGTTCAGCGATGTTGAGCTCAGAGGTGCAAAAGATATTATACTCTTAGACTATCTCCCTTCCTTAATTTTCATTCAGAAGTTAATAATAGAGGTCAAGGTCAATAGAAGAGTTGCAATGGTTATTAGAGTTCATATTTCACATATGTGCCCCCTAATGGTGACAATATGAGAAATTCTGAAATTAAACTTTTGGAGAAAACATACTTATTTTTTTCCTAATAATCCAGAACATGAAATTATTGATTTCTAAGTAAGATAATAAATAATTAAGTCCTTACCCACAACTATGAGCCAAGCATAGCCTCTGTCTATAGGAGCTCTAGACATATCTACTGCTGGGGCAGAACCTTTGTCAGCCATCTTGAATTATGAAATTCCTTATTCAAATGCCTTTGGAATGCTGGGATTTCTTCATAAATTCATTTTGTCTGAAACCGGAAATATAGCATCGTACAATTTCAAATTTAGCATACAGCATACAAATCATTACAAAGTTAAGTCAAACTATTTCTAATTCATTCATCTTGCAACCACCAGAGCAGAAATTTCATTTTTTGTGATTTTACTATACCGTGTATTATTACTGAACCTGGGACAATAGTGGTGGATCCAGAAATTAACAAGGGGGGGAGGGGGGGGGGCATTTTGAGTCTGGAAAAAAATTTCCATGCTTGTAGGAAACAAAAATGTTGGCCCCTAAATTGGGCCCAAATTTTGAAAATTTATTTGAATAGACTAGTGACATGGCTGAGACTGCATAGTCAAATCAATACAATAATAATAAAAAAAATGACATGTAATTTTGGGACACCCTTTATACATTTTGCATTTTTCACAAAGATTCTTTACAATTCATATATTCCAACATACTGAATGGCGCTGTGTAAATTACAAGCAATGTAATCATTGAATACTAAAAAGTATTTGGATTCAATAAACCTGACTATGTTCAGAGTTATTGCTTTTTAAAGCGGATATTATTGCTAAATGTGTTAATTACGGGTTGCGTTAAATTTAGTATCAAAGGGTGAATCAAAGGACAATTCTGATAAAATCCATAGAAACGTTTCGATAACATTTTCTGAATAATCCATGAGTTTTCCCCAGAATGCAAGAATCAAGCATTTATTTAATACCTGGGGGTCATAGTATGTGTACGGAACAGAAAAAGACATCAGGGGATTAGTATGGCCCTTATTACATTGTTTTTATTTGTTTATTTGTATGCTATAAAAAGGCGCCAAGTACATTGAATTTGCAAACGAGACACGTTCTGAAAGATGTGTGAAACATTTTTTTATTAATTTTCAATCGCTTTAAAATGGATAATTAATACAAAATCTTAAACTACTATAAACCAAGAGATTACATATCCCTCAAGTTATGATTACTCTCTTTTTACATTACACTTAACTATTGTTAGCTAGATTCATATATCATATAGACTGCTATTTAAGAGAAACTACTTATTAGTAATGAGATATGACAATAATCATAATCACACTGATTTATAATCAAGAACTCTGTTTGGAATATTATCACATCTATAGGTCGCCAAAAGGCGTACATACACCACCAGTTCATAATGGAGAGAATAGTAAATGTACCCAAATAGCCAAACACTGTTAGTAAGATGAGGCCTATACATTCGAGAATAAATGTTCCTATATGCATTTTCAATTATTCACAAATAGGTAGAAAATGTATTACTGCATGTTGACCAATCAGAATGGAGTTTGACCAATTCTTTACCATATACCCTAAACTAGCATGGTTCATAAGGGAAAACATGGCCTTGCATGAAAAATGATTCCCCAAATAGGTGCCTACATGACATCTAAGCATTAGGTAATTATGGTAACTAAAAACTGAGACTTGAATGGTGATTGTAATATAGTCTATAGCCTTGAAGAAAAAGACAAAGTGTCAGCAATTGCCATTTGTTACAGACACTGAACAGCAACTGCTAAATGCCAAATACCAACTACCAAACACCAACTGCCAAACACTGACTACCACAAAAAAGTTGGAGACTATAACAATATTTCACCACTTCTACTATATTGTAACCCCCCCCTTTTAATGATTCCATGCAATGCTACAAGGTAAGACCCTAAGAAGAAGGCTGACTATCTCAATGAACATAGTTACTGACTGAAAAGGACTCATATTACATAATAACTGAACCTAATATATTGCATGTACTACTAAAGAGCCTCTTAGACTAGTCTGGCACTTGGAGATTGTATTTTCGACTTCAAAAACATATATATATACTCACTGTACTGGATATTATGCATTTTAAAACCAAATGCTTAGAGTAAACATTCTCCAAATAACAGACAAATATGCCACTTAATCTGAATAAAGTAACTACAAACCGTAACTACCTCAATCAAATTGTAACTAAATCCCTAAATGTAATCACAAACAACAAACAATTTTGTAACAACTTAGGAATCCTACAGCAAAACACCAGGGGATACAAATATAACTATTTACCCTTATTCAAATGTATCTACTTCTGCAAGAATATTTCCTGAGTTTTCTTATTGTTTTCCTGAAACTAGGTTATAATCTGATAATCCATGCTACATATCAACTGAACAAAAAAATATTTTCTTTATTTGCTAAATTATTACCTTCTGCGCTCTTCTCCTATGAGAGTATACTAAAGTAGTTTTTTGTATAGGTAGGGGTGAATGATCGGAGAGTGAACTCCACAAGAATGAGGTGAGAATGAATGTAAATGAACACTGCATCTTAACCTGTCTGTGTACATGTCTATTAATGTACAGATATGTTTGCTAGCGTATCGCAATTATTCAACATGTAAAGAGAGGATAGAAATATCGTTTTTTGTTCATTTTCTTCCTAGAGGGTAAATAATACTAAATATAGACAATAAAGCATGAGTTTCTATTGAAATGAATGTGCAAGTAATAAGCTAGAATTGTGGGTTATTATTGGGTCATGAATTGTATAAGAATATCTAGGCAAGAGAAAAGCCTCCAAAGTAGTGATGGTTTTAAATAGTTCAGCACATTTATCTCTGTTTACTAGATTACCATTCATAAATATTTATCCTTCATATTTGCAAATTGCAGAATGATCAAAACTTTTATCAAAACTTTTTCATGCTGAAATTTATTCCCCAAAAATGTATCTATTTATTTGTAGATCAAAGATTATACCAATTGAGATGGAAAATAACATGTACATGTACTTCTTTTTTTGACAATACTAGATATAGTATCTTCAGGTATATATCTATTAAAAACAATTAACTACAACGTTGTAGATTAGAAGTTACATAATATCAAATTAATTTAATTTAATGAGAAATTGCATAACATTACATCACCTTAATCACAAGTACATGTAAATAATATTATAATTGTATCATACAGTTTGTAATATACATCCATCATTTATTTACATAAAGCAGGCTGACATTCTCTATTTACAAATCCTACACCTAATCAATAGTTCTTCACAAAGAAAGACAATCTAATCAGTCCTTTATAGTGATCTCCACATGATTTTTTCTGAAGTGGTTGCAAAATTCTCATTTTCACAATTCAGACCAAAATTGGTCAAAATATGCCAATTTTTCACAATTTTTCTCATTTTCGAGTGATTGCAAATGTATTTTCAGGTGAGTGCAAGCCTGTTTTCAAAATCTCTGGTGGGTGCTGCGCCCACTTGCTTTAATGCTGGGGAGATCACAGCTATATATTCTGACACTTTATCCTATTGGCAAATCCAAGGCCTCGATAATATTTCCTCACAATGAAACAAAAGCACTGCCTTGTCCTATTGAAAGACCTCAGGCAAGAATAAGAAAAAAGGATAATACTTACATGTATATAGCAGCTGCTTCTTATCCTACATTGCACAATTCCTGCATTACTGATAGATATTTACATTAACATGGCATCCACTGCAGTCTGCAACTTGGGAGATGATTATTTATGATCTTCTTCCAGCGTGTTTATAGCAATAGCGTTATCAGAAGATATCAGAAGATATCAGCATGATATTGCGAATGTCACATAATTACTTGCGTTGTTGGCCAATTATTTATCTTGCTCACTTATATCTGAAATTACATTATTATAAAAACCTTAGTCACTCTGATCACTATGGAGATTGTTTTTAATAATGGAATGGTATCAATACTTAAATAAATAAAAGAAAATAAGCTCAAAGGAATGTGAATAAATATTGGAAATCTGTGGAAAAATTGAAATTGTGAATTAATATGGGAAATCATGAATATAAAGTGAATAAATATGGGAGATTGTGAATAAATGCTGTTAAATATGAATAAAAATGGAAAGGAGTGGTATCGATATGGAGAACTTTTTGAACACACGTTTCTCTTAACCTCTTGACTACCCAGAGGGACGAGAAAATCCGTCACAAGATTTTTCACAAAAATTGCTCTTATTTGAACAATTTTCATCCAATTTACACAAAAATTGTTTTAAAACATGTAGAAATGATCTCTGCTGTCTAATTTTACTAAGTTGAACATCTAAAGTTCTATAGGTATGTAGTAAAATGTCAAAAGGTGGCAAAAGTGAAAAATTCTCTGGTTTGAAGCAATTTTAGAGCCTGGGATTCAAGAGGTTAAACCAGTCATGAAAAAAATCTAAAAATTTAACACATCGGCAATTTAATGGTCATATTTTGAATGGTAACAATATACATGTAATTTATAAAATATGTATATACGAGGGCATATCATAAAGTTCTCATAATATCTCTCTAATTTTTTTATTTTTCAATATATTCTAATGAAATTTTCATAGAATCTGCAGTATAGAATACTTTATTAATCTATCAAAAATATTTGGTATAACAGAAACATTAGATAAGTAATGGTTGCCATAGTAACCGGAAATCAAGGCACCCGGGGCAAATAAAAATAATTGAGAGAATGAGTTTAATTAACCTTGTTTACATACATAATAAACTCTCATAAATTACCAAAGACATTAAAATGTTAACTTCAATATGTTGTTAAATGCTTTTACTATTAAATAAATTGATCATGTGGATTGTCTGGTGTCATAGGGGATGCTTACATGCTTCATTAGATGTGATACCAGACTCTGAGAATCAAAGCTTAATGATTAGAAATGACTGAGTATGATAATGCATTGATGCAGGGATCATCAGAAAAATAATATTAACACTGATAAAAAGTTTAGTTTAGTTCGAAAAATCCTTTGCTCATACTAAATATGATCTAAAACAAATATGTTGCAAAGATATCAACATAATTGCACCTTGTGCATGGTCTATCATTTATTTAAGATGAACTAAAGTGGAAAATCGACTTGCCTTGGAAAACTTGACAAAACAGTTGTAGTGTCTAACATCACTTCTAATGAAGCATTGCAATCATCCATTATGAGATCACACAATTCACATGACCATTATAATAGTTTAAAACAGTCAAGAATACATGGTATTTAACAATTTGATGTGTTTCATAGCTTATTTGATAACTTATTATGCATTTAAGCATGGTTCATTGGGACTATTTCTGCACGATTTTTTATTTGCCCCAGGAGCCTTGATTTCCGGTTACTATGGAAACCATTTCTTAAATAATATTTCTGTTATACCAAATATTTTTTGAGAGATTAATACAGCATTCTATTCACCACATTCTGTGAAAAATTCATCAGAATATATTGAAAAATAAAAAAATTAGAGAGATATTATGAGAACTTTATGATATACCCTCGTATACTTTCATCTACTTTCGTATACTTTCATATACTTTCTCGTATATTGTTTTAGAAAACACATCAAACACTTGTTTTGTTCTTGGTATCATGTTTCCAGAGTATTAGACAAAAATTCTTTCAAAATCATGCAGTTTTTCACCATTCTGAGCACTTTTCAAGTGATTTTGGGCCAAAGTAGTCAGATATGGACTCCCCTGAGTTTTTTTAGTGAACCAACTCCTTGGAAAAAATTGCTACGGGTCTGTGCTGTGGAGCTGTAACGACCCTTGGGCACATCCGCCGGGGAGCTGTAGTTTACCGAGCCAGATACTAGACTCGAAAGAGAGTGTGCTAAATTCAATGCCCCGTAGGAAAATCAAACCCAGGACCTTCCCCTCTCGAGTCAGACACTCTTCCCCTGAGCCATAAAGGCTAGCCAGTAGCCACTATAGTTGAGACTGTAGTAGCGACTTGCTATCGAAGGTCATTACACCATCCCCCCTTGAAGACGACGTCCCGTCGTAACTGATTTACAAGGGCAATCCAACTACTGACACCAATGTAACAACCCTTGGGCACGTCCGTCGGGAAGCTGTAGTGTACCGAGCCAGATACTAGACTCGAAAGAGAGTGTGCTTAATTCAATGCCCGTATGGGAATCGAACTCCGGACCTTCCTCTCTCGAGTCAGACGATCTACCCCTGAGCCATAAGGGCTAGCCACTGCAGCTGAGACTGTAGTAGCGACTTGCTATGGAAGGTCATTACAGAGCCATACGGATATGACAGTTGCAAATACTGAATAAAAAAGAAACCATATATAAGCCATGAAATTTTTTCAATGACATTATTTGTGAAATGACTGAACAAATGATCACTGAGATTTCACTCCTGAGAATTCACGACTTGGATGAATTCACAACTTGGATAAATAAGGGCAAGACCATTGAGTCAGTGAGAAATTCCAATTCATTTCTTCATGTTGATGGTATTGGTAACATGGTATGCAAGGACTGGTATGATTTTAAAAGGATCAAGTTTGGAAATCAACAGTGAAACACTTTCTAAGCTTTTATTAGACCTTTTTTAAATATGGTCCAACCTTACTTTATTTGCACATGTATGTAGCCATCTATGAGATAGCTTTGGGGTTTGTGTAAAAAACTGGGTGACCGGGTAACCGGGTAGCTGGGTGACCAGGTACCCTACCTTCCTACCAGGGTTAGGAATTTGATTTTTTCATTTTATGCCTCAAAACGCCCAACTGACATCCCAATCAATGTACCAGTGACACAACCAATCAAGCAAACAACCAAACAAACAACCAAATTTATTTACCAATAAATCAATCGGCAAAACGACAAACAAAATTAATATAATGTCAATCTTGAGGCAATAAATCAAGCAGATAACGTTGTATTGTACATCGTACACTAATTAACAGATAAAAACGGCAAATAACGTTTCAATTTACGCGTACGTAAATCTTCCAGGTTTGTTTAATATCTAGTAGAAATCGCCATCATAGAAAATAATCATCGATATCCTGTTAATCACTCAGACAATAAATCAAGCAACTAACGTCATCGTACGTGTAAACTGTGTAAATAACTACCTACATGTAGGACTTCCAAAATCCAGTCTCTTACAGGTTCTTGGTAAAATGATAACGTGAAAATATTGAAGGGTAGTCTACAAATGTGCAACTTTGAAAGTTGGTAACCCTGCAAGGAACGTTAAGTATCCGGTTACCCGGCTACCCGGTCACCCGTTTTTTTTACACAAACCCGATGGCTTTGTGTGAAGTCTGACCCGCGGACGTCCGACGCTCCTGAACAGCATAATATTGTGCAAATATGTGCTTTGTATCAATATTATAATAATGTACATGTAAACATGGGATTACAAGAGAAAGCCAATGTGAAACCCCATGGTGGAACCAGGGCTGCAAATAATTGCAGTCTGTACAGATTGATGACTTTTCTATTTGCAAAAGTGAAAGTGTAACTGGCTTCAATCTAAGTATGTGTACTTACATCTTGATGTCAACAAAAGTACCTGACAGTGGCAGTTATAGATAACAGTGCAGTGTTTTTCACGAAAAAGATCAATAGCATTGCAGAATATTCTTACATTTTCACTCCAGTTTTTTAATTGATGTTTGACCAATCAGATTTCAGCATTTTCTTCAGCCCTTGTCAGAGAAATATTTTGACATTTTCAAATTTTGTGAAGTATTCGGTAAAAAACTTGTGTTTATTCGGACACATAGTGATAAAGATACAGTTTCTTGCCACAAAATGTAATGAACATTTTAGCTGATGAATTCTAGGGGATTGAAATGCGATAAAGTACATGAAAATAAGATATATTTAACTCGACAACTCTATTATCGCCCATCACGATCATAAACAATTTTGTTTAGGCATTCAATATGATGGAACTAAGCCTATCACGGGTTGATTACATACAGGTAAGTTATTTTGTTTATATTATGTACTTCCCTAATTTGTGTGGATTTGCTTGGTTCAGCGTTGACATTTTATTTGTGTTTATTGGCTGCCTAAATCACTTGAGATGAAAAATATATTACAGTCAGCCCGTTTCATAGTTTTATTTCTTCAATAGCCTAGAACCCCAAAAACAAGAAATCAGGAGACCATTTGTGGCATTTGTGCAATAATATTAGTTCAAAGATAAATCCCTGCCTATTTTTTACTGCTGTATATGGGTCATGTCGTAATCATAAAATTTGAAATCAAATGGTCGCCATTTTTCCACATCACAATTTGAATTGCAAGTTTTGGTCTTATTACCCAAAAATTCCAAAACACACATGAAGTGATTAATGTATTTGTTCACATCTTTTGGATCGCTAACTTAGAATTTACAGTAGACTACATCCTCTAGTCTGAAATTTTTTTGAAATTTGGAATGAAAATATTCAGACTATAGCCCTTATATGTTAAAATTTGGGATTGAAAATTATTTGTTTGCATAGGAAGTGCCATTCAAAATGGCCGACTGGGTAAATTGATTTGCATATTTGTTACTTCCCCTAGCTTTATTTCCATTTGACAATATGCTGTGTTACTTTTTTTATAGCATTTAATTGTACCTTACTACTTAATTGAATTGTTATAATGCTTATTTATGGGGAGTGAAGTTTCCTAAAATTGATAATTGTGTGCAGGAGATTTCCTGTTTTTTTCCATAGGAGGGACATAATGATCAATAGACTGAATTCTCAGGAAATTCAGTCTAATGGATATAGACTAGAATTTACAGCCAGTTACTAATGTCAGACAATAATGACATTTCATCCAGTTTTCGAATATCGCCATTTTTCTTAGAGCCATTTATTTTAGTGTTAGATGAAATCCTGACAAAATCCTGATGAAATCATGCAATATCTCATCAAGGAGCCAAGCCAGTTCCATTTTAATTCATGATTTATTTATCTGGCGATTTTTAATGGTTCAAGGTGTTCCAGATGAAATCACTTCTAGCCAAGTATTGGCTAGAGACTCGAGTAAGCTTTTGCCCTTTTGTAATTTAAAGAATTTCAGCCATGTTAATCTTTTAGAAAATACTATGGCAGAAAAGCATCAAAATATAGGAGGCCACATACTTTATTAGCCAAATTAGAAGCAATCCAAGATAAACAAATGTCATTTATGTACAATAAGAATATATTTTTTCCATATATTATTGCGTAATGATCTTTTGATTTCTTATTTTGTAGGTTTTATTGACGAAATAAAACAATGAAATGGGCTATAGGCTTTCAATGGACAATCCAGTGAAAATATCACTATAAAAATACAAAGGCTATATGATATGTGAAGAAAACCGATTCACTTTTTACCAAATGCCACAGAAGAAGACAATGAACAAAACCTTATTTTTGTTTTTTGTTGGTTAGGTAACAGTTTAATGAGGACGCCACTGATTAATATTTTGAATCAACAGTAATGTGTGACGTTTAGATTATTTGTTTGTTTAGTTGCTGATGGTGCATTATGTGACTGATATCATAGTTGATGTGATATGTCATATCTTCGAATCACATCATATAACACTTGATAGTTTCCTTGACGACTTGCCATGTATAAACTAATAATAAAGGTTTATGGAATGGGAAGTCATGTGAATGGTACAAACCCGTTCCATTGTACAAAGAGCTCACCCCCCACTTCATGGAGGGCTTTTGTAAAAACTACAAAATCTTACACAAGGCTATAGGCAGATGTTCTGTTATGTCTATTTATAATGAATCAGTGGTCAAGATCTCAGTGCGACAAGACTGCCAAATGACAATTTTTCACCTGTTGAGTACAAAGACACTTTGCGTTTCCTGAGGTTGCTTAGATCATTATTCATATTATTAAGCACACATTTGGTTAGTTTCATAGGCTGAGGTCGATAGAAATAATTTTAATCGATCTGTGTTTATTAAAAAAAATAATATTGGATTCTACTGGTGTTTCCATCTTTATATCAGCCTTATATCAGCTTTATTAAGGCCTCTAGGATACCCAGGATGTCCAGAACACAGACCAAAATCTTTGGTACAAATTGATTGTCCCATCAGGACCAATCTTTTAGGATAATGACAATATCGGGAAACTTTGATTATATCACTTCTATAGAAGTTCTTGTATGAGTGCACGTACCTGTGCAAGAATCTATTCTTGATTAGATTATTAAAACTAATCAAGAATGGACAATTTTGCACCGCTACGAGTATTAGAAAGTTTTTCTCATGTTGTGTGTTGTTTGTTATTAGGTAGGAGTCACAGCTCCAAAGACGATGCGTCTACTCCCTCCTGCAGGAAAGAAGGATCCAATTCAAAAGGTAATACATGTTTTGATTATCTACATCTCTACATTGTACCTTCATCTAAAAGAGGTGATGGTGTTTTTTTGAAAAAATCTGAAAAAATTTACTTGCAGCATTCATTGTTGCAGCATTTTTTAAACACCATGTATTATTACCGAAGAATGCTTTGGATTTTGAGATTATTTGGCAGTTATTCTTTAGGAGAGGGTAAACCTTTTCATTTGTAATGAATTTATCGTCTTAAATCGTCTTAAATAATATGCACTTATTTGACCAGATGTCTCAAAATTTTTTTGAATTCAAACCATGAACGGTCAACAAATCAGTATGTTTATTGCTTGTCAACATTTTACATTATATTTTGCTGCTACTCGTAAAATGCACATCTACTCAAATATACCCTTTGGGGAATCAATCTCAAGAATAGAAAATATGGTGAATGATAAACCCATTTGATTGACTGTATAGGGACCTGCCAAAAGTCTTTGGAATATGAGGTATTCACATTTCAAGGTTTTTAACAAGTGAGTCATTGAAAGAATTTTGAGACTGAGAAAAAGTGTTCATATTGAAAGGCATTCAAATTAGAGAGGTGTTTGGCTATACAGGTTTCATTGTGTTGTTGTTTCAGATCGCCATAGCTGACCAGGATGGTGTGTTACAGTGTTTTAACATGAAGAAGGCTGAGCCAGTTGTAAGTTTAAATATGGCATAATTATTTAAGGGATATTCCTTGCAAGCCAATTTATTATGTTACCACCAGAAAGTGGTAACGTATTGTTATTGTCTCCAATGATTATTGTGGATGGCGTTTGGTGGTCGGTAGTTGGTGTTTGAATGATATCTGTCGCAAATGGCAGGTGATGACATTTTGCATGTTATTGCCTTGTCTCGCTGTCCACATTTGTGGTGTTCACATATTAAAGTATTCACATTAGAAAGATGTTCTCTTCAGAGATTTCATGTTATGTATATCAAACAAATGAAATAAATGTATAACCAAAAATAACCAAAAAAAAAAAAAAAATATCAAACAAATGAATCACTTATCAGTACACCAAATTACAATGCAACATTTCACATGGGTCTCCTTTTTTCCAGCATGCTTTCAAGACCCTCCCAGGCCAGAAAATTAGTCGCATGGAGCTTGGGGGTCCAGTAGGAGGTGTAAGGGAGAAGATATTTGTCGCCTCCGGGGCAGAGGTTCGTGGATATACCAAAAAAGGAAAGCAGTTTCTTGGGTTTGATACAAATCTTACGGAGACTATTAAAACCATGTAAGTTATTTTTATATGGAAATACTTTTAAAAACTATAAGTTGTTTGTTTGATAAAGAATTTCAGATTCAATATTCATGAGAATGTTTTCTTTGAAATGAATGCAAATGTGAGTACAGCTTGCATTAACTATTATTTGTTCATCAATGTATAGATGGCTCTGTCTACTAGTGGCAAAGAGGGTTGCATTTTTTTAAAGATCTAATAGCAAAGGTTTTGCAAAAAAAAAATCAATGTAGTATAAAACAAATGTATGTATAATGAAGAAATAAATATATAATGAAAAAAATAGATATCTGTTTGTAATATTGGTATAAACTTAAGATTAAAAAGTGTCACTATCTCTTTCACTTTTCAACAAATATAGGCTCACGTGACATCTGACGCGGGGCAGGCAATTTTGATCTATCGTAGACCATATCAGTATCAACCTCGTCTTGTGAGGCCATTTTGATTTGAAACATCTTGAATTTGGTGTCAAAATGAAGCTGGTCACGCCCACTTTCAGAGTTATCAATGAATCATTTACTACGACTACTATATTCATTTAGGACGCGTGTAAAGTTAACCAATCAGAAAGACAATTGTTCCATATATGGCAGTTCATTAACATATTCAGTGTTTACTACTGCTTTTCGCGTCATGACAACACGAGTAGTAACCAATCAAGATGTCGTATTTTATCACGTGAGTTCAGAGTGACACGCACGCGACATGTTGTCTGAGGTGATCGCGATGTTGAACAATTTCTTCTCGGAATTTGTCCAGAGAAATCAGCGATTCTAAATTAAGGTAGGATCTGCCATTTTTTCCTGTACAAGTTATAACTTATCTCTATCGAATCCTAAAGTTTCGGAAGAAGATATGAAGCGTAGGTTTAAAAACGAAGCGATTAATTTGACGATCTGATTTTGCAATTTGCAATGGCCAATTTACTGCAAGTCCAGTGCATGTATTTGACAAGAGATAGCGCCAAGTCTTGTATCTAAATGCTTGTTAAGCCACTCAAAAACAAGATCTATATTTTCTAAATTTGATAACTTTGCAGAAAACCTGTTTTCATAATCCGTTTCCGCGTCTAGATTCAAACTGAGTATGATAATAGGATCGCTGGAATCTTCAGTCAATGGCAACGGGTCTTCATTCCAGAACTCACATTTTTAGTTGATTCTCCGTCATAGTTCTTGTCTAAAGTCCCCATATCTGCTCTCTTACTGCCATACTTGCACACATTTCCCCTCCTTAAATTGTCTTCATTCAAATTACACCCTCTCGCCGATTTATATAGCCATTTCCCAGAATCCGGGAATCAGAATCGCTGATGTTTGCCATATTGAACATATGTACTGTAATATCTGTACATTGCCTGCTACGCGTAATGGTCACGTGACTAGCGCGATACAGGAAAAATGGGGAATTTCGAAACAACAATTTTTGGGCACTTTTATTGCAAATTTCAGGTATTTATAAAGTGTTTGTGGTATAAAATATAATCCACAGACATAAATGAACATCCAAACTACATATTTCATTAAGTTTTGGAGCCTTTTTTGCTCTTAAATTAACATCTTTAAGTGAAAGAAAGTGGGGAGAGATTGAGTAAAATAATAGCAGCAAGAAGGGCCTCATAAAATATGTAATTGTGGTTATACTGAAAGGTCTTATCTCATGTTGAGTTTGTCTAATTTCTATTTTTAGGTATGTCGAGGGCTCTGACTTGTTTCTCTGCGGCAACTACATCTATAACCACTACCGTGACTGCAAGGATATGAACTACTTCCTGTCAGCTGACAAAGTGAATGACGTCATATGTTTGCCGACAGATCATAATCCAGATGTCACCCCAATACTTGCCTGTCAGGACCGTGTATTGAGAGTGCTCCAGGTATGAAATTAAAAATTCATTTAGATCATTTTTGAAGAAAAAAATCTGTGAAATTTCTGCCATCTATCATAATTATTATTAAGTCACCAACTAGAAGGGATGACATATTGTTACGGTCTCCAACCTTTTTGGTGGATGGTGTTCAGGGGTTGGTGTTTGGTGTGTGTAATAATTGGCAGGTGGTGACATTTGGTATGCTAATGCCTTGTTCATAAATATTGTTAGTTTGGTTTCATGTTTTTTTTTGTTTCTCAGTATTAGCATGCGATGTTATAAGCCGCTCAAATGCTGATGAATTAGAAAAGAATTTTTACTCAAAGAGTTTCAAAACATTTACCTTTATGCATGGGCTGATGCTTTAAGGTATCAGTACCACAATTTCAGATTTTTGAGACCTCTTCAAAATAAGGTCCATGGTTAAAGATATGAACTATTTTGGAAATAGAAGCTCATCCTCAAAAATCAAAATCATATTAACAAATGCTTTTTTGGGGCCAAAACGAGGTTGGGGAAAGGGGAGGGGGGTCCTCCTTTATTTTACGACTATATCAGTTAGTCTGTGGCTAAATATGCCATAACATACTTTTGTGCTTTGTAGGATTCGGAATTGCTATATGAGGTTGAAGTACCAGGACCTCCAACTACACTCAGTCTTTATTCAAATGACGGAGGTAAGTTCTATTTTGTGTTTTTTAATCACCCTATAAAAGGAGATAGCAACTATTTCGAATGGTAGTGGTAAAGAGGAGCCATGATGACTAAAGTTGACATTTCCTGACCAGTTTTTAGCAGTAATATAGCATAGCTATGTGGGTGGGCCCAGAAAAAAAAAATTGGGCCAAAAAAAATTTTAAAAGGCCTTAAGGCCACAAAAAGTGGGTCTTTTTGGTCATTACTGGGCCTTTTAAGGCCTTATTTGTTAATTTCAGGCCAAATTTAAAGAAAATGGGCCTCAAAATTTGGGGCCCACTTTTGGGGTTTAGGGCCCCAAAATTATTTTTTTCTCTGACCTGAAATTTTGGCCCCCCCCCCCCCCCCTTGTTGGTTCCCAGATCCGCCCCTGAATGTGGCAGAGACAAAATCATCAGAAAAGATCTTCCTTTGCAACTAAATATGTACATAACAATAATATTTTGAATATACACATTAATTACTTTGATGTTGTTTGGCAAGTGGTGGTCGTTGTCTGTTAAAATCCCTTTAAGTCTTCTTCAATATTTCCATTTATCGTATGATCTGTAAAATGAAGCCTTCTGATTGGTCAGTTCTTGTGCTGTACCAATCTGTATTGCTACTGAGATTGTCCCCATTGATCATCTCTGCGCAATACAGAAAATATTGGTACGGAGGGGACATTCTCAGTAGCAATACAGAGGATCACACGATAAAAACGTTATAGAATGATTTGAAGTGCAATACAGGATATATTCTGTCTCGATAAAATCGATATTTCTCGAGCAGTATATATCCTGTAATGCACTTCAAATCATACAAAAACTTATAGTATCACGATTTAATTTCGACAGGTTGATAGGTTTACTATAGAATTTTGAAGTGTATCCAATCCAGAAACCTGATAGCACTTGTTCATAGTGTTATCTAATGGTAAAATGTATTGTTCATGAATCTATGACAAATTGAAATAAAAACGTGACGTTAGTTTTTTTATTGATGTACGCTATAAAAATAATTGCATAAAAGGGAGGGAAATACAACCAAGGACTTCTGACATCTACAAGGAGTTAGTCAATACGCATCCTTATGAGAAAATTACACGATTATAATCTATTTTTAAAAATTAGTTATTTTTCAAAAGGATGATAAGGAAAAAGCCCTCAAGTGTGATTTAGAATAATAAGTCGATTCGATGGTCATTTTGAAGTGCGGGAATAAAAAGTATGGACCTTAAGGACAAAACGCATCTATTCCTTTGTTTTATTGTATGAAAATGCCCCAAAAATTAGATATGTGTGAAAGACATATGATTGAACATTGATGTTAAAGGATGTATATAACTATCAAGGGCTTAGAAAAACAATGAAATAGAGTTTTTGAAGAATATCATCAATTAAATTCATTTTCATCAATTGAATATCCTAATCAAATGTCTAAGTGCTCTACATGTAATAACGAAAGTAAAAGTATTTGGCCATTGTTAGGAATTCCCCAAAATAAATTTTACAATGAATGTCTCCATACCATCCAACGCATATTGATGACGTAATGATCGTAGCCCGCTCTCGTGAAAATCCAATGTATAATGTGACATTATTTCCCTAACAACGATAGCTTTGGAGAAACCCCCAAACTCTTTGTGAATACCCCAAATTATTTCACATTTATATACAAAATTAACTCTAACTTTGGTAAAATAAGCATTATATCATATTGCAATAGATTCCTCAATATTAATACAAATATATGACAATAATAGCGTGTAATGCTTTGAAGAAATAAGCCCAAAATCGGCAATGTTATTGTAAATGAATTAAGGTGGGCGCCTCATTAAATTCAATGGATGAAACTTTCTGAAATTTTTTAGGGTATGGGTCATTGTAAAAGCCCCCATTAAATCAATATTTTATCAATTTCTGTTTTCTTTTAATGGAATGAAAAAGAATAAGTTTTGATTATTATTATATACACAGCAACGCACTGTATTTAAGCTTTGAAAAGGAGTGAAGATCAGTTTAATAGTTATACAACCTTTAACTATCCAGTACATGTGCATTCGCTAGTCTTGCTTCCAAACTCAGAACCCCCCTGATTGAGTTGATATGGGATATTACAATGGCTTTGAACAATACTATAATGTTGCATGCCATCTCTTCTACATTTCGATTTCAATTTCAATATTTGGGATAAATTGCAGGCCCGTAGCCAGAATTTTCCAAGGGGGGTTCACTTTTTCAAAAAATTTGAGGGGGGTTCATGTTTGGCAAATTTGGCCAAAAATCACTCAAAAATAGTCAGAATGGTGAAAAACTCCATAATTTTGAAAGAAATTTTGGCCAGTTCACCCAAACCCCCCAAACCCCCCCCCCCCTGGCTATGGGCCTGAATTTACATCACTTATATATTGGTACAAATAACACTGGATGCAGATCATATTTTAAGTGAACATGCATTTTCTTGTGTCTGACAAATTGATGAACATTTATAAAACATCAGATTAATGTACATATATCGTGAAATAAGGCGATGTTCTGATCAGATGTCGGCAATTGACAAGAACATTTTTCAGTGAACATATTGTAGTGAGACATATTAAAAAATTAAAAAAGTTGCAGCATTTTTATCAGTACTTATTGAGCGCCCTGTATATGTCACTGACCAGTGTATGAATAAAAGCTAATAAAAAGGCATTAACATGCAAAATGTAACAGTAAACCACCTCCAATTTGTAGTTGTGATTTGATATTGAATCATTTTTCTTAGTTTGTTATCTAATGTTACAGCAGGATCCAGTCCCTCTCACAATTGAGTTACACTTTAGCAATAGCTGCTAAATTCAAGTTGGCTGCCTTTTTTAGAAAGAATGTAATTTCTAATAACTCAAATAACTAATAACTTATAACTCAAATACCATTCTTTGGGCTAATTACCTCTGCTTGAGAATGAAATTCCAATATGTTGTGTCATGTCATGCCATGGGGTAGATTTTGCTTAAAGGAGTCAATACTGCTAATACTGCCTTGCTATTAGTACCATAAAATGAGTGATTTGATAAAAAATGTTTCATTCGGTCAAGGTCAAGGTTTGTCAAGAAGCTTCTTGAAAATGATGGTCAAATCAGATTAGATCTATTAGCATCTCATTCCTGATGTTTACTTATATAAGTTGGTACAGTATTAATGGCCTCTTCAAGGAGGTGAAAGAAAATTCTAATGTACCATTTTTTAAAATATTGATTCCCTATAAAACGCAAAGACATTGAGATAATCTCTATTGTTTCATGGGCTTTCAATTTCTATCTCTGGACTGCGCTCAAGCAGGACTCTCCAGTTTGATGTCTGATTTGGCTATGTTATTTCTCTCATAGATAGACATCCTTGCAATGATTAAAGGATTTAAGTCCAAGACTCAATGCATTGTTTGCTGAATCATATGATGAAGGTGTTGTTTCCAAACCTTTGCATGACCGCACAGCGGGAATGCAAAGTTTAGGAAACAACGCCTGAATGGAGTGAAGCAGCTATAATGCATTGAGTTTTGGGCTTAAATTCTTTTCACACATTGCAAATTTTTTTCTATAAAATCATCTAAAAGGAACAAAATCACGAAAAGAACACATTTTCAATGAAATTTTTTTGCAAGGGTCAAGTTGGCAAGTCATCAAATCCAATGTGAAAAATCCATTCATCACCATGACAACTGTTTAACTACTGACCTTGCATGTGTTATTGATATTTCACACACTGTTCATTTTGTGAATACTCTGTTCGGATTGGCTGGAATCAGACACACCTTGCCTAGCTATGTGTGAATTATATTGTAATGGCATCCAAAGGTCAGGCTGAACCCAAGTCAGCATAGAATCAGTATCAAAGGGCATTGACTTTAAGAGGAAATAATTATTTTATTAACATCATGAACTTTTATAGACTTCTTATAGACTTCGAAAAGGAATATAGATTTTATTTATCCTCTTTTTGCTTAATGAGGGAATTATATTTACAAAAGGTCTCATTCTGATTTAGGCTAATATCTCTATTTGTATGAAATTCTTCACAATGCCATAATAAAGTCATTATCTAATTTGCTTTAAATTATCAATTATTTTATGTTGCTATTATCTAATGATAAAGAATCAATTTCCTCATGTAATATTTCATCAATTAGAGTGTCCACACTCTTAATATCTTCAGTAGGACAATGGTTGCTCGTGATTTCAGCATTTAGAAAATCCTCATTTTCAATCTCCTTATTATCTCCCTCAGGTATATTTTCATGCATTTCATCAAAATTACTGTCATTCTTTCTAAAATTTGGATCAGGTTTTCCAAAAGGTCTTTTACTTTTACCTAATAAACCAAACAGTTTGGTAGCCTTTTTCAAATTTTTCATTTTCTTCCAAGCCCGTTTTGCTTTTTTCTTACGTTGCCTCAGTTGGCTGAGTTTGTATTGTTCTCTGCTGCTTTGTATTGTTATTAAGTCAATGGCCACGACTAGGGCAATCTCAAATATTAAAATCATAAGAGCAAATGAGCCTATTATTGTAGAGTGTTTCCCTTCTGTGGGCTCTGGTTCAAACTTAACAATTTGTTTGTAGAAGTCTGCATTGCTGTTGAATTCTTTTTTAGTAATATGTATAACTGGAACTGGACTTGTTGTTGATGGTGTCACATAGTCTTCTGTCTGGGAAGGCGAAACAGACTCCGTAGCTATTGTAAAGGATGTTGCCATGATTGAGTATGATGGTGACATTACTGCCAAAAATGATGATGATTGTATAGTCATTGATGGTGTTGATGATTGTATAGTCATTGATGGTGTTGATGATTGTATCGTCATTGATGATGTTGATGATTGTATAGTCATTGATGTTATTGATGATTGTATAGTCATTGATGGTATCGGTGATTGTATAGTCATTGATGGTGTTGATGATTGTATAGTCATTGATGGTGTTGATGATTGTATCGTCATTGATGATGTTGATGATTGTATAGTCATTGATGTTATTGATGATTGTATAGTCATTGATGATTGTAAAGTCATTGATGGTGTTGATGATTGTAAAGTCATTGATGGTGTTGGTGATTGTATAGCTATTGATGATGTTGATGATTGTATAGTCATTGATGGTGTTGATGATTGTAACGTTATTGATGGTGTTGATGATTGAACAGTCACTGATGGTGTTGATGATTGTATAGTCATTGATGGTGTTGATGATTGTAACGTTATTGATGGTGTTGATGATTGAACAGTCACTGATGGTGTTGATGATTGTATAGTCATTGATGGTGTTGATGATTGAACAGTCACTGATGGTGTTGGTGATTGTATAGTCATTGATTGTGTTGTTTGTATAGTTGGGCAGGCTGGTTGAGAGAGGTTTGCTCCTGCAATAACAAATTAACAATGAGGAAATAACATTTTTGCATTAGCCGATGAATTGAAGTTTATCTTCCAACTGAATGAGATTTTAAGCCTAAGAAAATAACATTTACTAATTCTAGGTCTTATATACATTTTTACATACACTTATTTTAGATTTAATATACACTTTACTTTGGTCTGACATACACTTATCCTAGGTCTAATACATACTCATCCTGGGTCTGGCATACACTTATTATAAGTCTAATGTACACTTACCCTTGGTCTGACATATACTTATATTAGTTCTAATGTACACTTACCCTTGGTCTGAGATATACTTATATTATGTCTTATGTACACTTACCCTTGGCCTGACATACACTTATATTAGGTCTAGTGTACACTTACCCTTGGTCCGACATACACTTATATTAGGTCTAGTGTACACTTACCCTTGGTCCGACATACACTTATATTAGGTCTTATGTACACTTACCTTTGGTCTGACATACACTTATATAAGGTCTAGTGTACGCTTACCCTTGGTCTGACATACACTTAAATTAGGTCTAGTGTACACTTACCTTTGGTCTGACATACACTTATAATAAATCTAATATACACTTACCCTTGGTCTGACATTCACTTATATTAGGTCTAATATACACTTACCTTTGGTCTGACATACACTTATATAAGGTCTAGTGTACGCTTACCCTGGGTCTGACATACACTTATATTAGGTCTAATGTACACTTACCCTAGGTCTGACATACACTTATATTAGGTCTAATGTACACTTACCCTGGGTCTGACATTCACTTATATTAGGTCTAGTGTACACTTACCGTGGGTCTGACATTCACTTATATTAGGTCTAATGTACACTTACCCTGGGTCTGACATACACTTATATTAGGTCTAATGTACACTTACCCTGGGTCTGACATACACTTATATTAGGTCTAATGTACACTTACCCTTGGTCTGACATTCACTTATATTAGGTCTAGTGTACACTTACCGTGGGTCCGACATACACTTATATTAGGTCTAATGTACACTTTCCCTGGGTCTGACATACACTTATATTAGGTCTAATATACACTTACCTTTGGTCTGACATACACTTATATAAGGTCTAGTGTACGCTTACCCTTGGTCTGACATACACTTAAATTAGGTCTAATGTACACTTACCCTGGGCCTGACATACACTTATATTAGGTCTAATGTACACTTACCCTGGGTCTGACATATGAAATAAGTTGGTGTATCACAGTTTTCCTCTTCCCAAACTGGATTATCCGAGCTCACGGTTTTTAAAATTACGCAATCATAGAAATCTTTCATCAAGTCAAAAGACTTGCTGGGACTACTAAAGTTCACTGAGCAGTTATAAATGTCTGGCCTCATGAATCCGCCATCACTCCATGTGTCTGAAGAGACTTTCCTCATCCCAATGAACAATTTACTGGAATTTAATAAGTAAAATTTGGAGCAATTGTTACCATGCATTCATTTACATTTTCATAAATTGAATTAAATCATAAGCATCAAAATGACATTCAAAGAATCAAATATATTTACATCTGTTCATAAAATACATACAATATTCTGTTTGATAAAAAAAACTTGATAAAAACATTTTGTTTTTTCTAGTTAATTTATCAAAAGATTGGAGTTTTGAATTGATAAATAATTTTAAAAACATACTTGATAGATTGAGTTTTTGCGATATTGCTCAATAGAATCTGTTCCTCGGTCGAGTAAGGTATCGCAAGAAATCCTTGGTGTTCCTCCCAACAGTATGCTTGTGTCTCAGAGTACGTGCGCTTAACAGGGGATAAAAAATAGGCTGTTTGGCAGAATTCTATACTCCAAAGTCCTATGAGCAGTAGAAATACCATTTTTATCCTTCTTATATCCTGTTTATATTTCAGGTCGAAATGCTGATTTGAAATAGTTAAATAGTCGTTATTGCCAGTGACGACAATAAATTTCTATAATTACTTAATAATAAACCTTGCACATTGACTATTGTTTTGTGAAATGGAATAGTGGTTAATGCCATTTGAGGGGTTGTCTCAAAAAATTTCTTTCTTGACATTTATCAAATATGTGATATAAAGAGGTTATTTAATGGGAGGGATGGAATATGAATTTTATTCCATGAAAAAATATGATATTGGCCAAGAAAAATATCGGATTGACCAAGGGCAATAGCCTGAAAAAAAACTATAGACAGCAATCCGGCTGATTTCGCCCAGGAATCTGATTAATTAGGTGAGTGCCATCTATTGCCAGTTAGCAGATTTTGATACCGGCATTTGGTCAAACTAGTGCCATTGTTGGTAATGCTTTATTACCTCCGACTACAAGTGATCTTCCCAGCATTAAAGTAGGTGGGTGCTGCCATTTTATGAAAACCATGGCAGCCATGGTTTTAATTATAATTTCTGCGGGATATTAGAATTAATAATTTCTGTGGGATATTAGAATTAAGCCTCTTACTTTGTTGCCAGCTGCTAAGAGGATTAGATTTGTTCTCAACGAAACTTACTATCATTATTACCTCCTAAGAAATTCTCCATTGAAAACTACACAAATTACAAGCAAACACATCAAAGATTAATCCTTATATGTAGTGTAGTGTAGTGTAGTGTAGTGTAGTATAGTGTAGTCAAGAAATGTTACTAATTTTTACTAATAATCAATGCAAGGGGTAAAATGTATACATTTGTTGTCATTATCAGTAATTATAATTATGAAAATCGGTTTAAACAATCAACATTAAATGCATTTGCAAAGATATGAATAAAAATAGAAATGATGGAGGGCATAAAAATCAGATTACCTTGCCTCAAGGAAATATTGGCTTGCTGTTTGGTAGTCACAGTCACTGTATTGATTTTATGAGATGAAATCCTAAGAAAACATCAAAATTCACCATGAATTCTTGTGAATCAGATGTATTTCTTTTTGTTGTTTTTTATGATGATGGTATCCCTTGATGATTCTCAAACGAATATTCTTCAAATACATAAGCAGTTCCAGAAACAAAGGAGGTGATACATTTAAAGGCCCCATGGAAAGATTGACATTTTTTTATTCTTCAAATATCTTGTCACAAAAAGTTTGGTAATATTGATTTGTATTTGTAATATGTAATATGTTTTTGAAGATTTATTTTCCAAATATTTGAATCTCCTTCCATTTTAACAACAAAAGCAATGGTTTTCAAATGGTAAAATACTTCATTATATATTGTAAGCACATTATTTTCTCAAAAACATTGAAAACTTTAAGTAAATCAGTTGAATGATATTATAAATAAACATACATGTATATTGATTTCAGAACAGTTGCTAAGGATGTTTAAACTTTCCGCAGGTCATTATTGTAATTTTTGCATCATTGTAACAACATTGACCTGCCATGAGCAAAAATACTCTTATGTTCTTTCGACAGCATTGTACTCAACTATGCAATTGGTATATCCTAGAGTTAAATAGAATGAAAATCATACAATGGATCAAAGCCTTGTATAAATTCCTTGCTTTTCTTTCTATATTTGTAGTTTGAATACAAAAAGATTTGATGAGTATCAGAATGACTATACATTAACATTATGTATAATTGGTTTCACAAAAAATATAAAAACCTCCATTGAATGTTACAGTAGTGATCTCCCAAGGAAATAAGAGCAATTGGGTGATGTATTCTTATCTTGAAAATTAAATATTCAAAATTCAGTCAAATTGATGTCATATTTGAAATCTACCTGTAAAGTACATCTAGAAATATGGTTCTAGTTCGGGTTGATTCCACTTAGACTCCATGTTACAAAATCACAAAAGTGAAATATCTTTTCTTGTATTGGACAGATAACATTTCCTTTTTCTGAACAAATATTAATTTGCATAAGTATTTGATACATAAGGGTTATATGAAAATTGAACCACTAAAACAAATGTAATTTAAGATCAAGGGAACTTTCTACTATTCTCGCCATGCTATCTGACCCGAACTAGCCACCTGGTGGTGAAACTGGTAACTCCCTACTTGGATCTGCGTTATTGCAAAGTAATTGTCAATGAGTAGTAATAGTCTGTTATTCAATATTTTATTTCAATCCCAAAGAGTTTATTATGACTCAATGCCTCTTCAGGGGGTCTTCAGGGGTCTTGGAGACCAGGGAGCCATTCTTAGAAACTGTGTAAAGTTAAGTCCATTGTTCTCTAACTTTGATGTAATTGTATCTATCCCAGACAAAGTTTCTGTTAATGGCCCCCAGGGCAATATGTATTTTTTATTTATGAAGCTGTCATGCAGTCCCTCCCAAAAGATAAGACTTGTACGAGGGGTGATCACTAAGTAATAGAGGCATTTTTTACAGAAACATCTTATTATACTGTATCCATACTTGTGTACTTGTTTTTTTGGCCCACCCTGTAAAAATATGAAGAATTATATGCAGAATTATCAAAATTTATTCAAATACCATGAACAAAGAATATTTAAAAAATCATTTGCTCTCTGACCCCATGGTGACCTTGACCTGACTTTAACCTCATGATGACCTTGCATTTTTACTTCAGGTGAAGATGGAAATGAAATCTGCTATGGCACATCCGATGGAAAATGTGGACTTGTTCAGATTAATAGGTATGTATTCTTTTGTGTATTACGGAATTTTCACCGTAGGCTAATGAATGTAAAGATAGTCAAAGTCCATGTCAACGGATATAGGTATGATAGAATATCTGATGTAATTGGTGGATTTCTCACAGCCTTACAGCCTCTTCTCAATCAATGCGTAGTGACATTTATGTCTTTTGTTAAAGCTAGAACTTTTTAGTGCAAAAGGGTGAATTTTGCTAGTATGTTTAGTACATAAAGGTGAATTTGGCAAGTACGCTTAGTACATAAGGGTGGATTTGATTAGTACATTCAGTTTATTTCTTAAAACTTTAGTCTTATGATTATCTCAATAGATTTTATGAATTTCTTTTTTGAAGAAATTTTTACAAAAAATGATGAAGTTTATTAAGAAATCAACTTGTTTGTGCATTTGAGAGATTTTTGTTAAACAAGACCTAAAATAATCAAAAGGTATATCTTTATCTTTTTTAGGCAAATATTGTTTTTGGGTCACACTAATAACATTTGTTTTTGTTACCCTTTTGGCTCACTCTGTATGTTTTGGATGTTTACTTGAACTATGAAAAAGTAGACTATGCATGACCATGTCTTGATATTGAGTAGAAACATGAAATTACACATTTAAAATATATGTATGTTGGAAAAATTATAATAATCTTAACTATGATAGAAAAACCTCCAAAATGTTCTTCATATGTAATTTTCAAATCTTTCAACTCTATAAAGACTTGTTAAAGGCTAAGAAGTTGTAAAATTGGATGGTTTGTGCGAAAGGAGGATTGACTCCAAGCACTCTTTGGGATCTTCTTTTGACTGGCAAGGACAAATTTTGTAGCACTATTACTATAATTGTATTCATTTCCTGACTAGAGATGACCATAATAGTAATATTATTACAAATTCGTCCATGCCAGTCAAATGAAGATCACAATAGAATGTTGGGAGCCAGTCTACTTTATTATCCCATCGAACGAAGTTTGGAGGGATATAGGGAACGCCTCCGTCCGTCCGTCCGTCCGTCCGTACGTACGTCCGTCCATCCGTCCGTCCGGGCAATAACTCAAATACCGTTGGCCCGATTTTGTTCATATTTTGTACACATATACCCTATGGGGGTAGAAGTTCTGTTGAAAAGCCGATTTTCAAAATGGCCGCTCATTTCAAAATGGCGGCCATTTTAGTGCCGATTTTACAGTAATTTAGGTGCAATATGTAAAACTGTAATAGCAATATGTTTTAAATGTAAAAAAATTATAAAAGACATTAATAATGCTACAAATGTAGATATTAAAGAAGCACATGGCAGCCATCTTGAAAAATGGCGGCCTTTACTCGTCATTTTACGATTTTTGCTGTAACTCAAAAAATAGTGGAGCGATTTTGTTCATATTTGGTATGTGAATACTATAAGCTTTGCACACTGTCTAAAGACACTTTTGGTAGAAGGCGGCCATTTTAACGTATTTTACTATAACTCGAAAAGTAGTGGAGCGATTTTGTTCATATTTGGTATGTGAATACTATAAGCATGGCACACTGTCCTATGACATTTTTGGTAGAAGGCGGCCATTTTGAAAAAAAATTTGAAAAATGGCCCCCATTTTAATGTATTTTACTATAACTCGAAAAGTAGTGGAGCGATTTTGTTCATATTTGGTATGTGAATACTATAAGCATGGCACACTGTCCTATGACACTTTTGGTAGAAGGTGGCCATTTTGAAAAAATTTTGAAAAATGGCCGCCATTTTAACATATTTTACTATAACTCGAAAAGTAGTGGAGCGATTTTGTTCATTGGTATGTGAATACTATAAGCATGGCACACTGTCTATTTCTAATGGCACTTTTGGTAGAAGGTGGCCATTTTAAAAAATGGTCGCCATTTTAACATATTTTACTATAACTCGAAAAGTAGTTGAGCGATTTTGTTCATATTTGATATGTGAATACTTTAAGCATGGCACATTGTCTAATAAAACTTTGGGGAGTAGTCGGCCATTTTGAAAAATGGCCACCATTTTTATGTGTGTTATTTTACAAGTACGTGTGCGATTTTTCAAAAATTTTAGAGTGGCTACTTAAAAGCATATTATTTCTCCTGATGACAACTTGGCTAGTGAGCAACCATTTTGAAAATGATGGCCTTTCTGGTGTGTTGTTTTATGATATTTGCTATTCGTTTGTAAAAATGCCAGCCATTTCTGTTCGATGGGATTCGCTACGCTTTGGCGTTGCCGTTGTTCTGGTTTCTGCATGCCAACAGTTAATTTCTGCTCCCTGTAAATACTGTTGCTATGACGATTAAACATCATGCACTGTTTCATAAAACTATAAAATAGTAGAATGAAACCTCTATTAATTTTGATGTGGGGGTATAGTTGCATGGTACCAGTACTATTACATGTTGTTCAGTGATCTCCCCAGCATTAAAGCAAGTTGGCGCAGCACCCACCTGAGATTTTGAAAACAGCCTTGCACCCACCTGAAAATGTATTTGCACCCACTTGAAAATGAGAAAACTCATGAAAAATTGGCATATTTTGACGAATTTTGGTCTGAATTGTGAAAATGAGAATTTTGCACCCTCTAGAGAAAAAATTCTGTGGAGATCACTGTAGTTTGACGTTATGCATGATACTTTTGTTGGCAGGCCTGAAGCATTTGCCCCTATAACTAAAAGGTGATTATGCTAATATAGTCCATGTTAGACTTGGTGTGCCAGTCTGTTGTATATATGTATTATTCGTATTGCCTCAATATATAGGGTATATACATATTTGAAAATCCATGGGCCCCAAAAACCTCTGAATCTCTCTAAAGTTGATTTCTTTTAGCAGAAACAAGGGTGAAGTTTTAATGTACCTCAATGTATTGTATGTACAGTATTTAAATCTATTGTACATGAACTGCCTCAATGTATTTTATATATGGTTTACGGTAACTTAATATATTGTACATGTAGTGCCTCAATTTATTTTATACATGGTTTACAGTAACTTAATATATTGTACATGTAGTTCTTCAATGTATTTTATATATAGTAACTTAATATATTGTACATGTAGTGCCTAAATGTGTTTCATATACAGTAACTTATTATATTGTACATGTAGTGCCTCAATGTATTTTATATATGGTTTACGGTAACTTAATATATTGTACATGTAGTACCTAAATGTGTATTATATACAGTTACTTATTATATTGTACATGTACCGTGTAGTGCCTAAATGTGTTGTACATATAGTGCCTCAATACGGTGTATCCCATCTCATCCCACATTGTACATGTAGTGCACCAATAAATTGTACATGTAGGCCCAATATATCTATATGTCACTACTCCCAGTTGATGAATTCAAGTGAAAAAGCAAGTGAAAAAGGCCAATTTGGTAGCGCAAATTCTGCAGGACTTCTTGTCTTTCATTATGAAAGAAATGTTGTGCAAGTCCTTATAATCATTCGTTCGTTCGTTCATTTGTTTTGTTCGTTCGTGTATTCATTGTAAGAATAAAACAACAGAAAGCAACTCCAATTATTTAGGGAACTCCTTTCAGTATTTTACCTTCTGAAACATAAACATTAAGATTTCTGTGGGCCAAGGTAAGTTTTGTCTGCAATTTGTGGGAATGGAAAACTGGGAGGAGTGATATGTTGCACATTGTCAATAGCTTATTAAATGAATTATGGGAGGACACAAGGAGGATTGGCTCCCAGGATCGAAACTCGATATTTTCCAACAATGAAAACGTCGAAATGTCGTTATTTTCTGAAATTAAAACCGACTATAAATTCAAAATAAACAGTTCAAAAGATTCGAACCAATATCTCGATCATTTCTTGTGAGTTTTGGAATTTTTCGTTTGGAAATAAGACCAAAATTCACGATTTAAATGTTGAAGTGAACAAAATGGCGGCTGTTTGAATTCGAATTTTGTATTACGACATACCCATATATGGGACAGAATATCGGTGGTGCACTCTGGGAGCCAATCCTCCTTGGGGAGGACATGGGCGTAGGGCTATATTTTGAGTTGGTACGCACACTCGGGGATGCCTGATTGCGTGGCCGAAGGCTGTGCATCGCACGAGGTCCGGGGTAATGCTCCCCCGCCAAATTTTTTTTCAAGGATGTATTTCATGGAATTTTAGCATTTTTATCAACTTTAAATGTTGACAATGGTAAACATACAGATACGGTAGGAAGCATCAATAAATTAGCAAATAAATTAATGCATTTTAACACATTTTTAATTTTTTCAAATTCATTTGGTACGCCTGTGCGTATTTTGCGTAATAGGCGCTACGCCCATGGAGGATATTATGTGTGTTTTAGGATGAGAATTTTTTTCCAAAAATTCTTGTTACATGTGTAATCATCTCACCATGGGCTTTCACAAGGTCAAGCAACAAAGAATCAGGGGATAAAAGTGCTTGTGAAAAATTTGAATTTGCTGTGTTATGTATGAAGAATGAATAAACGAACTAAAAGAAAAAATCTCACCATGGGCCTTCTCTTGAAGGCCAATGATCTCATATAACCTGAATAAGCTATATTCTTTTGTATTATGTGGGCCAAGGCAAGTTGTCTGCACTCTGTGGAAATAGAAAACTTGAATGTTGCATGTTAATCCTCTCACATATTGCCTGATCGTCTCATAAATTCTTTTATATTATGTGGGGTACCGTAATGTTTCTTAATTGCCTTTCTCTTTGGGGTATAAGGAGTACAGTATTGCTTTGTATTTTCAAAGGAATGTGTACTTAATTATTATTTTTATGCTATTTATTTGTATTATTTTTATTTTCTATTGTGATGATACATGTCCTTGTTACGTCTCCATTGATTCCTCGTTCATTGTGTTCTTTGTAACAGTTATAATCAATAGATTTCATATTTGAAAATGACATCATTATTCAGTGACACATCATTCCTAATGTATTTAACTCCTACTTCACATGCCAAGCCTTGTAGTAAGTGAAGTGAAAATCTCCAGAGTTTTTTTTGAGATCTTAGATTTAAATTTAAGAGACAACTACACGCAATAAGTGTTCTGAGCAGACACATACTATGAGTGGTGAATATGAAAATCAAGAGAGAGGCCAATTTCTTAAAAATAAGCCATAAATTAAAAAATGAAGTCCAGTAATGCCAGTATGTTACCTAAATTGACCAATGTGTTGGGGAGAAGCAAATTTTGGGCCCTAAAAATATTTGGGTCTCAATTTGTTTTAGTCACAGCAAAGCCCCCCCCCCCCCCTCATATCCGCAACTGTATATTATCAGAAGGTTCATCTCATTTTTAATGATCTTACTCATCTATGGCAGGCATTGAAACTAAGCAATTATTTACTTTGGCAATGCAGGTTTTGAGCCCTTTTTTGACTGTGATAAGTGGTTTCACATTTAAATCTTCAGAGCAAAAATCAGAGTCAATAATGTCCCTCATCTTAAAATGATACTGACAAGTAATCGAACCATTATATCGACTTCTGAAGACAATGACATCTAAGTGCAATGTTACCAATTATCTGAATAGTTGTCAAGGCAATGGTTTGAAAGAAAAATCTCTAACATGAGAGTGCTATTAGGAAACTTCATTTATACAGGGTGGTCCAAATAAATAGGACCACCCATATTTCAAAAATAAATATTGATTTTGTTTATGGAAATATGTCATATTATATACCAATGGATAGGGAATTTACTTATCTTTAATTTGGTATATCATGAGTTCAAATTTATTATAATGACAACCAGCGTCCATAATATTAGTGATGTCATTTTTGTTTCAAAACGGGGTTTTGCAAAACTTGTCAAACTCATTTCCATAAACATTTGTTCAATATGACCACCATTTTGATCAATTATAGCCCTCAAATTTGGCCTAAACTGGTCAATAGCATCATTGACTGAGGTATCTTCATCATTCCATATTGAGCCCACATTGGCATTCTCAGTACCTCCATTGTATTTTTTTCTCACACTGAACCCGCATTGCCTATTTCACACTGAACCCACATTGCCTATCTCACACTGAACCCGCATTGCCTATCTCACACTGAACCTGCATTGCCTATCTCACACTGAACCCGCATTGCCTATCTCACACTGAACCCACATTGCCTATCTCACACTGAAGCCACATTGCCTATCTCACACTGAAGCCACATTGCCTATCTAACACTGAACCCACATTGCCTATCTCACACTGAACCCGCATTGCCTATCTCACACTGAACCCACAATGCCTATCTCACACTGAACCCACATTGCCTATCTCACACTGAACCCACATTGCCTATCTCACACTGAACCCGCATTGCCTATCTCACACTGAACCCGCATTGCCTATCTCACACTGAACCTGCATTGCCTATCTCACACTGAAGCCACATTGCCTATCTCACACTGAACCCACATTGCCTATCTCACACTGAACCCACATTGCCTATCTCACACTGAACCCACATTGCCTATCTCACACTGAAGCCACATTGCCTATCTCACACTGAACCCACATTGTCTATCTCACACTGAACCCACATTGCCTATCTCACAGGGAATCATTGTCAGCAAAAACAAGTAGCTACTTTTCATTGCAGGGGAGAAATTCTAGGCATGTATTTACAAATGCTCGATTGCTAATAATAAATAAATGATTTGAGTACTCAACCGCATATACTTAAATAATCCATTATGCTAGTAATGTTTAGAATGGCATCCAACCCTGAACAAAAGATTATACACTTCATATATGATATGTTCCTAGATTACAAAGATCCATGAAGTAAAAGGGACTGTATCAAAAACCTTGGTATTTATTTTCGATGAATAGAGTTCATTACATTTGATGGAGGGCATCAAGAACTGTCTCAACCATTTTCTATTTCTTCCCTGTCCTTATCGGATTCAGACCTCAGACTCGGACTCTTTTTGGCATCTGGGGTTCCTGTTATACAGTAAGGTGAAATTGCTTTGTTGTGAAGCATTTTGATAAAAAGCTTTGTAATAAAGGATGTGCCTGTGTAACATGTTAAAAATACTTTGTTACAAATCTTTTTGACAAAAATTCTTCATACTGTGTAACTCGTAATATCTAGTATATAACATCCGTTTTAGCTTTTCGCAAGTTACAGGAAGTGCTAGTTATACTTGAGAAAAAAATCTATATCTCAAGCTAACCTATTACATATCTCTCTTGTAATATGACATCAACATACAATGTTCACCTAAGTATATTATCGGGTTGTCATGCCAATCATAGTTTGTCTGATGTCTTTTCTTTATGAAAGAGAGCACGAAGATAACCATGTAAGGTGAAAATGTCAAATCTTGGTACTTGTGATAATAAGTTGACTGAACCTATTCACAATACATACTGCATAAGTGGTAACTTTGCTTAATCATTTGATATGCCTATTGCCTAATTTTTCCAATGTTCGGAAAATACATGTTGGAGATATTATCTTCATAATGTTATACAATGGGGAGTTTCTTGTCATAAGAAAAATTAAAATTAGGTAAATGATAAAGTTTGACCATTCGGCAAATTACCCACTGGGATTAAATACCACTTACCGAAATCGCCATAATAAGCGCCCATCCCGCTTCACAGAGATCAAGAAATATCGAGGAATGATCAAGTATTAACAAATATATCAGAAAAAATCAAATTTCCAAAGAAATATAGTGGCCAATGAGTACTTACACTAAAATGCAGAAAACATGGCGCTTTTTGTAATTCGATCCATTCTCCCAATAAATATCTATCAGTGTGTGCCTACCACATCATACTAAGCTAATATTATCTCAAAATAGTCCATAATGAATGAAGGAAATGATCACGTTTCAGACTTTTGTTTCGACATTTTACCAACTAGCGATTGTCAAGGTCAGGTCAAGGTCGTGATTTTTCTTGTTTCTTTTTGAGATATCTCGACTTTTACATGACTTTACATGAAAAATGATGATCTGTCATCAAATTAAAAAAATAAGGTATAACTTTAGATCGATGTCTAGCAGTCTATAGCGGAAATATTGAAGATAATCGCGGAAAACAATTCTTTCACCTCGAGGGGCTCTGCTGGGGAGTTCTTCAATCACTGTCTATATAGTATTCTTGTTTTATTTAAGCGATCTTTACCATATGCTCTCCAATAACGATACATATCATTATTGTAAAAATATGCTGTCACTTTCTTGCCAATAAGGCATTTTTGGCAGGAAAAATTCCCATACATGAAATTCTTGGGGATTTTTGACTTCTCTCATATATGGGCACTCTTTGTAATGGGTTACAATAGGAATTTCAATTTCAAAAGCGCCCTGGGCGCTTTTTACGGCGAATACAGTAGACTTAAATGAATGTTTTGATGAACAGACATTTCCAATAAATCCTGCAATCATTCAGATGTTCAAAGCATCTCTCTCACTGTGTTGAAGGACAGAGGTGGCTCACTACAATGCCTGTAATGGTGCCTCTTTTGGTGAACAAATTAAACCATTGTATATTAGCTTGATTTATGATTGTCATACCTGGCAGGTAATACAATCTTTGTAAACAAAATTGAAATTGTAAGTAACATTTTTGCCCTGAAACTGTGAAAATGACATCATAATCAGGATTAACTTGGTTTGATTTGTCATGAACCATTTTGACATAAAGCTGTGTAATAAAGAATATTTTACCTGTGTAACAACTCAAAAATCCTGCGTTATGAAGATTTTTCGACAAAATCTTTTGAACGAAGCAAGGAACTTTAACATTGAGAATTTCCTCTTATATTTGAATAATTGTTTGGTTATAGGCAGCAACCAATTCACAGATGGGAGTTAGGAAATGAGAAGAGAAATGGAGGTAAGTGACAATCTACCCTTGGGCCAAGAGGATAGTAGCAATAACTACACTCTGAGATTGATAAAATGACATAATTCATAAGGAATTTTAGAATGTAAAAATGAGACCATTCGATTTTTCTATCTACAGGGGTTCTCTGCATTGATAATTATGACATCACAGCTGATGGAGTTCTTGATTTGATCGTTGGTCGTGACGATGGCCTGGTTGAGATATATGGATACGATGAGGCAGATGAACCAGTTCTTCGTCATAGCCATGTGAGTATAAAAAAGATGTCATGTCAGTATAATGACAATGTCATGTCAATATGATTGTAATGTCAGTAGGGCGTGTCCTATCAGTATGATTTCATATCAGTACAATGATAATGTCATGCCAGTGTAATGATGTCTGTTTGATGTCATGTCACTTTGATGCTGTCATGTCAGTATGATATGTCATGTCAGTATGGTGTGTCATATCAATACAGTGATAATGTCATGTCAGTACATTGTATAATGATGCCTGAATGATGTCATGTCACTTTGATGCTGCCATGTCAGTATGATATGTCATGTCATTATGGTGTGTCATATCAGTATGATGATAGTGTCATGTCAGTATGATGCTGTGTAATGTCAGTATGATATGTCATGTCAATATGGTGTGTCATATCAGTTTGATGATAGTGTCATGTCAGTATGATGCTGTGTAATGTCAGTATGATATGTCATGTCAATGTGGCGTGTCATATCAGTATGATGATAGTATCATGTCAGTATGATGCTGTGTGCAGTATGATGAGAATATGTCAGTGTGATAATTTTCATGATTTTATTTTTTATTCACATAAATAACTTGTAAATAACAAAGATGATATTAGAAGACATTTGTAGAATAAAAAAAATCTTTAATAATTTATGTGATTTTCATTGCTGTATTCTAGCAATGCAGTGAAAGTGTGACGTCAGTTCAGGGTGGTGTTGTTGCCTCGGCAGGATATGACGAGATTGTTTGTGCTACTTATGCAGGTAAAATAGCCCTTAGATCAAATCAATGAATTCTACAATGTAAAAATCAGGCTAGTTATTGATTGTCCTTGGTTCAAAATGAGCATAAATATTATTTCAGTTTGTTATTGTCCTGTTTAGAGATCATATTGCCAGATTGAAATAATAGAAATACAGTTGTATGTTACTTATATTAGGGATGGTGTTCAAAACTCGACAATTGTGGAAGAACGAAGTTAGTTTTGATAGGGATGGAGGGGGTAAATGAAATGCGAAAATTGATCTTTTTATCTCAAGGGGGCTAGGGGATGGGGTGAGTTTAAGCGATATTGAAATTAACTTCATTTTTCAATAATTGTTGGATTGTTATGATTACCATTGAAAATAGTATCATTCATTGAAAATAAAAACAATACATGTCTAAACTGTATACAAAATAGCAGTACATGTATAGGCATAGCCCTTGGTTTTGTGTGTACTATGTGTACCTTGCATATTGAGGGAACACACAATATCCATAACAACATTCAATATCCATCGAAACACACACATAGTATCCATAGCAACACAATATTCATAGAAAGTAAGGGACACAATATCCTTAGTAACTTACAGTATCCATAGAAAAATGCAATATCCTTAAAAACATACACTATCCTTAACATCATTCAGTATCCATAAGAACAACCGATGTCCTAAGCATCATACAATATACTTTGCAACATACAGTATCCATAGAAACACAAAATTCTCTTAACAGCATACAGTATCCATGGAAACACACAATATCCTTTGCAACATACAATATCAATATTTGTAGGTGCATATTCATACTATCTTTTCTTTTTTAGGTTTCAAAAGCAAAAATGTGAAACAGACTATAAACCACTAAAAAATGAATTTCCCTTTCAGTATATCCATATGTGCAGCAAGATTGCAGTTATCAAAGACAAATGTATTTTCATTTACTCTTAACAGTTTATTGTGTTTTTCTACACATTTAGATTCAGAGTAGACAGGACTCTGTCATTGTTTTAATTATATGTACCTTCAGGTAGTAGCATCAGTGTTAAGCAGACCTAGTTTGAGACAATCATCAATTACTGTATAACCTTTAGTTTTTTTCAATTGTTTTACAGTACTTGTTCAGTGTAAAAGAAAATATATTTGCTTTATGTTAAAACTCTGTAAAGCATTCATAAAGTGATACAGGCTAATTGCAAAATGACCACATAAACTAACGTTAAATCTCCAGGTTGGCTATTTAGCCTGACAACGGAGCAGTCAAGTTTTGATCGCACACTGGGTAACGAAGCTCCCAGAATGCTCAGCCAGGAGGCCAGTGCTAAAATAATCAATCTTAGGTAAAAATCAAAATAATCCTCCTGTGGGGGTTCCACCCACCAAGGGGCCCTGGTGAAGGGACGTGCATATGTTACGCAAGTGGCTTGCTAGTATCCATTGTTACTATGTGTTGTGTTTACTACATGTGTTTTAATACATAGAATGATCTCAAAAAAGAATTTTAATTGGTAAAAGCCTTAATTATTTCAGTTTGTTGTAAGTCACTGCTCCAGGTTCCCCACTCCTATTTTTATGTCACCACCACAAGTATAGTGGTTGGTAATTCAGCAGTTGGTGTTTGGCATTCAGGGGTTGGTGTTTGATGCTTGGCATCTGTAACAAATGGCAGGTGGTGCCATTTCGCATATTAATTCCTTGCCAGTTTGTCTATTTGGCTGTGTATGAAAAAATGGTAAAGGAGACATGAACACATTAGGAGTTGAAACTGGAACTATTTTCTGAATATATGTTTTCTGGTTAACTTATCCTTCTCTTCCTAAATGATACATGTAGTAAGCACAACTCAATGTCACCATCACATAGTATATTGCGAAGGTCACGTATTGTCAGACAGTGTTCTTTTAAATGGAACTTTTCATAATACAGGACCTCCATTAGATACTATGTGAGGTTGCATCTTACATATTTATATATATATACATGTATAGTAAAACCAGTCTGTGTGGGCACCTTGTACTTGTGAGTATCCACAGTTGGGCCTGACTTCTGGTCCAGCTGTCCGTGAAAGTTGTTGTCAGCGTGCAAGTGTGTATCGACCATGGGTTACCATGGCAACCTCCTCACCTTGATTCACAGATTGTTGTAAAAAGATGATGCAATGAAATGAGGAATAAGATAAGGCTTTTAATTGAATGATTTATTTTGCCTTTCCATGTTCAGACTTTCATATAAAAATAGTATTTAAAAAAAATAAAATTTGATCATTGCAATCCTTCAGCAATATGCTGTCCCTTTTTACAAATCTCCATTATACAGTGAAACTTTTATTCACAAAAAAAGGTTTCTATTGCAGGCAGATTTTACAATATGTAACAGTTATCATTGTACTGTATTGTACAGTGGTTGAATGTAACATTCCAGTATTGCTTAAGTTGCAGACTTGGGTGGCTTTTGATTTTGTATTTTTGTTGAATTGTATGGTGATACATGTATTTTGTGAGTTTCTGCGAGTTTCAGCAATATTGGAATTAAAACTATAGTACTAATCTCAAACATATTTACCAAACTTACTTTGCATGAAGCATGGGTGGTGAGGAAATTGCAGGCTGGAGTTAGGACCTTCAACATAGAATTTCCCATATTTTGCTTGCCTATATGTATCGAAGCACATACCGGTTTGAATTACTAGAGTAGCATGAATGGAAAAACCAGTTGCTCAAAACAAGGAAACCCATAAAGCACAAGTCTCATTGTGGAAAATGTGTAAATGAGGGACAAATTAGGTCTTTTTGGCAAAATTGCACTGAGTTCTGAATTTTAAGATTTTCTGTTTTCTCCCTCATACTGTAAAAGCCCAAATTTTCGCTGACAAAAAATTTCACTATTTTAATTGTCAATCTTGGGCATTTAATTCCATTATTTGAAGAAATATCCAATTGAATTCAATGTTAAATCAAATTTTCACGGTGCCTTTAATTTCATGGTCTAGCCTCTTCAGCGAACATAGTGAAAATTAGGGCACCTTGAAAATTTGGGCGTTTACGGTAATTGTTCATTTGTGCTACGAATAAAAAGATCAGTGCTTCAGCCATTTCAGATACCCTGGCATAACATATTAAGCAATGAAGAGTAGACTATTTAAACTCTTAATCCCAATTGCTTACACCCCTTTGCACATATGATATCCAAGATGGATCTGGAAGCTAAAAGGGGGTGGGGCAAAAATAATTTTTTAGGAATCAAAGATTTCTGGGCTCTTTTAATAGCTTTTGTACCTACTTTTTCCAAAATTGAAGCCATTTTTGTTTTCTTAATTTCTAAAAATGGCTCGCATTAGGGAGCAAGGCCCAGATCCATCAGTGTATATTGTGGTGTATTATTGTGGTACTATTATTGTGGGGATAGACTGGAGACTTGATGTAAGATGCCTGCCCCTCCAATGAGCTGCATGATACACACTGTACAGTACACGGGGTGATCAATAATAATGTGTGTTTTTGTAATGTATACGTTTTCATAGCAGCAAAAACATCCTTTATTTACTGAACACCCCTTGTATTGCGACAAGTAGATAATAATGTAACCCCCTACCTGAGCCCATTTTTGGCCATCGCTCTAACCATACTGCATGTTGTACTAGGCTGGGTGTTGGGTATAACAACAGAGCCCCAGATAAAGGAGCAATCTAACACACCAGGGGGCACCACACAGTCGTATGTTGACAAAGCTGTGCATCAAAAAATAGGCACCTTAAAGTGAGTGAATAGACTAAAAATAGATGATAATAAATAATTTTGATTTTATCAAAGTACTTTCTTTAAGATGTGACATTTGATGATATGATTTTGTTAAAAGTCAAATTTGCTCTACGGTGGCTGTAGCTTCACTGCCTATCAATATATTTATGCTGCATATTTCTCTCGATTTTTGGAAGCTGCGGCCACTGTATGATTGCAGTAGATCAAATGTGACTGAGGCATAAGGAACACATAATTCTTGATATTTTATTATGAAATATTGGTTTCTTTTTCTGACACTAATTTTACTCATACAAGGGTGTAGACAGGACCTACAAATATGTAAGGCCTTACATAGGGTAAGGCGAAAATGAAGTTAAATGTAATACAATACTTTCATTTCTAATTTCATTTTCAAAGTTTCAGTCTATATTTTCCAGTAAAATGGCAAAGCGGTTGCCTTGTACTTGGCTACACCCTTGCTCATATGAGACACTACACTGTCTGCATTGAAAACTCTTGTTTTTGATACTAAAATGATTTTAATTTTTATTCTGGACATTCAGCAGCTAGTAATGATTACTGTAGATGCTCTCTTTTAAAACTCAAATCAGATTCTTGAAAAGGGTAATTTTCTCTGAGGATAATTCCCAGTCAACTTAAATCATTCCACGAATCAGATGATCACATCCTTTTCCTAACATGAGATGATTTTTAAACATGGTGACGAGAGATATAGTTAGACTTAAAGATGGCAGCAACAGTCTTGTCTGTTTAAAGAAAATATGAAAATAGAAGTACCAATACTGAACAAATATTTCACTCTATTGAGGTGAATACCTGTACATCTTTCACAAGTGATATTCCACGAAGCCCGAAGGGCAAGTGGAATATCACCTTGTGAAAGTGCTACAGGTATTCACCGAAAATAGAGTGAAATATTTGTTTTATTATATCACTGTCTAGCTAAACATCCCTAATATTATTAAGTCATTAAGTCTTCAGATATTTTTACGAATCTATACTCGGTTCGTCTGCCATTTTGACTTAAACTGAACTAAATTATTTACACTGAACGAAAACAAATTCTTTGAAAATTCCCGGGAGCGTGGGATATCGCTAGATATCTCATGGTTGTCTTATCTGATTAGCATTGCCATAGAATATCGCCAGATATCCCACGACATTTGACCCGGTTTTGACCAATCATAATGTCGCTAGCTAGATAGCGATATAATAACGCCAGATATCCCACGACATGTGACCCGGTTTTGACCAATCATAATGTCGCTAGCTAGATAGTGATATAATAATGTCATATATCTGTCAACCTAGTGTATATGTTATTAAATGTTTGCACAAATGTACTATATTGTATATATGACTTGCTTGGGTTTCTGCATGCTTAATATGGTCTTCGTGCACTTGTACCAGTGTGACTTATATTTGGCATTTCTGGTTTTAACATGGTTCAGATAATATTGGAAGGCGAATATTTTTCAGGCAACTAAATTTTTTTTAAAATATTATATGACACATTATGTGTTATTAGTATTTTGCTACTTGGCACTCTATACTATACTATAGAATTATATGGTATATATTGAATCTCTTTACCACGTCATGCAACTTTAAAGTAAAATCTCTTCTCTATATAGTTAGATATACTGGTACATTACAAGGAAGGTAAGGTTATATAATGTAATTAAGTTTGTAGCCCATTTAGCAGCATATAAATAACTAAAGCTAAACCAATATTTTAACTGATGAAAAATTATGAACAAAAATTCACTTCACTGCCATCTTTCATTCTGAAGTACATGTTTTTTTCTGGTTATATTTTTATTTTAATTAGTAACTATTTTACAAAATAAAAAAGTGTTCCACTTGGGAGGTGCTCCACTTATAGAGGTTTATTTAACATTAAGTCAGTTGGTCTTGGAACTCTGAAAAGTGTTCCACTAACATAGGTGTACCCATCCAAGAGTAGTTCCACTTAACAGGTTTTACTTTATAAGAACCTCTATATGTCCTTATTAGGCAAGAATTAGAAGACCTCCAGCAGAAGGTTGTTAGGGAACGTGAACGCTACCAGACAACTGCACATAACAAGAAAGCCATCTCCGCTGTACCACACTTTAACATTAACGACAAATTCATCCTGAGTCGGGAAGATGCCAGTTACACGCTGAGTCTGGAAGTTCAAATGGCAATTGATAATGTGCTGTTACAGGTGAGTTTATACACCCTTTATGCACCCTTTATGTTTATGTACTAGGGGTACCGCGAGCGCTCGAGTGCTCGAGCAATTCACCTCCGATACGAGCTGTATCGATACATAAAATAAATATCAGTCGTATCGTTTTTTGACCGGAAGTCCCTTCCTAAAGGGAGGGAAAAACTCAGAGCTTAGAGATGACAGACAGTCATAGTTACGTATCTTCCTTGCCGCCTTCGTTTGCCCCGATTGTTCCCGAATACCACACGTCGTTTAGATGTTTTAATCGATGTTAGCATATTTTACAACTTTCTTTGTTGTAAACGTAATCTGGCTGAAGTACTTCTGGCTTTACAAGTTTGAAAAATTAGAATAAAGTTAAGTTTTACTTCAATTTAAGCTGTATCATAGTATCGTTCGTATCGTATCGCGAGGTCAGTATCGTAGATACGTATCGATATTAAATTTATCGTATCGTGGTACCCCTATTATGTACCCTTCCTATCTCCAGTTTGAAATGATGAATTCTGTAAATGAAAAAGGCCAGTTCTAGAGGAGTTGATCAAAATTCACGATACTGTAGGTACTGTAACTACATGGGCCAATGCAAATTTTGTCTGCCATCTGGAAAGTGTTTGTTGGTTGAAGAAATCAACCTTTTGGAATAAATGAGACTAATAATTGACGTGAATATATTTTCTCATTTACTTCTCTTCACAGGTTTTATACTCTATATTGTACTGTAGATTGGGTTAATTTGGCGCCCGCTTTAATTTGGCAAATTTGGCGAAATTGAAAAATTCGCCAATATAAATCTACGCCAAAATTTAGAATGAATCCCCGGGAATAATCTAGGGTATTTCGCCGAGTGTATTTAGGTAACTTCCGGTTTAGTTTTTTCCAAAAATATGAAAAAATGTCTCTCATAAATTGGCTCAGAACTGGTCAGTCACTCATTAATACTCAGGGAAAAACTAGAAAGGAAAAGCACAGTATAGTAGCAGCATCAATCGAGGTGCAAAATGTAAAGGATGATCTCACAAAAATGTACAAACGTGGTGAATATTGCCAGTGGTCCTCAAAAGAAAAAATGAACATAGCCAAACATGCTATTTACATGGTAATTCGCAAACAACGCGTAAGTTAATTAAATTTTTTTTGAATATCCGCCAAATTAAATAGCCGCCAATATGCCAAAAATGGCAAAATCGCCAAATTAAGTAGCGCCAAATTAACCCAATCTACAGTATTTAGTTGGTACCACATTGTTATTGTCTCCACCTTTTTTGTGGATGGTGTTCGGCATTTGGTGGTTAGTGTTCAGCATTCGACAGCTGGTGTTCAGTGTTCGGCATCTATAACAAATTGCAGGTGGTGACATTTTGCCTGTTAAATGCTTTGTTATACTATATGTACTTTCAGAGTGATGTCCCTATCGACTTACTTGATGTAGATAAGAACTCAGCAGTTGTTAGCTATAGTGCCTGCAACCCAGAGGTAATAAGTGATCTCCCAACATTAAACCAAGTGGCCACTGCACCCATTTGAGATTTCAATAAAAGACAAGCACCCACCCGAGATTCCATTTGCACTTTTGACTCCCTTAGTTCCATTGGGGTTTGGTTTTAATTCATGATTTCAATATCAGAGAAGATAGTGGTATTAAATATTCTTTGAAATTAAAACGTGTTCATATTTTATAGGAAGGAAATTTCCTACTGGCGACATATCGCTGTCAGGCAAACATGACACGTCTTGAGTTGAAGATTCGCTCAATAGAGGGCCAGTATGGTACAGTACAAGCCTATGTGACACCCCGGTTACAACCTAAAACATGCCAAGTTCGTCAGTATCATATTAAACCCCTCAGTCTGCACCAGCGTACACACAACTTTGACGAAAACAGGTACATTTTAGATAAACTGATTTTTAATTGTACATTTTATATAAACTGATTTTTAATTGTACATTTTAGATAAACTGATTTTTTATTGTACATTTTAGATAAACTGATTTTTAATTGTACATTTTAATCATTGGTTTGTTTAGAAACCGGAAGTGGAATACATTCTGGTTTCTAAATGTTTGGACGTATTTAAACATTTTTAAACATTTGAACTTATTTTCTAGACACTACAACTCCTTGATACTAACGGGCAACTTCAGTTTGGCGGAGATTCATTCGTGGGTCTGTTTCTGTCTCCCTGAGCTCCCTGAACGTACTCCTGCGGGAGACTCCGTATCTTTTCACTTCCTGTCATCGTTCTTGGACACCATGTTAGACTGCTCCTACAAGTAAGTGCTCGTTACAGTGAAACCTGTATATCTGAACACCTTTCTTATCCAAAATCCTCTCAATATGAACACTTTTTTCTCAAATTCTCAATTTTTTTTCTCAAATTCTTCTGATTCAAATATTTAAAAAAAACTGAAAATGTGAACACTTGTTAGTTCAATTACTTATCATTGGTCCCAGTGTGGTGTTCTGATTAAACTGGTTTTACTGTATTTTGTATAAATTAAGGTAGGACAAGTAGAATGAATGGACTGTTGTTACTTGTATACTGACATGTGCAGATAGGGCAAATGCTATAAACATAGAACCACCTTAATCCAAAGGAGTCCTCAAATGAAATGGTGAGATAGTGTCCAAAATTCAACAGGTGTGGAAGTTCATTTCATTTGTGCGGAAGGGTGTTAGTTAAATATTGATTTTTTGGCAATGGAAATACACAGGTTAATACCTATCCTGAGGGCCGTGAGCTTGCTCGGTTAGTATCATAGCTAAGGCACGGTGCAAACTCGGTGATAGGTTCAGCTCAACATGGATTTTCAAATGCTCACGGTATGTTGATGTCTGGTTGGTACCTGTGGGAATGTTAGTAAATCATTAATTTTTAGTTTCATTATATGTATGTGGAGGGATGGGGATAAACCGTAATGGAAATTTTCAATTCAATTTTTTTTCAATTCAATTTATTTATTTCATAATGTACACTATAATGTACACTATAAAAACAGGCCGCTAGACACCCTAGTGGGTATATTTTGCGATGTTCCATCAAAATAAATTTGTTTTTCCCATGACTCTTAATGAGGTTTGGACACCAATCCTTACTTACATAAGAACTGCTTGTTTAACCCAGAGTTTCGAGTTGACTGATTAGCTAACTCATATTTCAGAGAGCTTCTAATATGCAAGTAACGTCATTTGAACTTATTTTTAGCTCAAATGGATGTAAACAACAAATAATTGTTATCATGACAAAAAGCATGAATGGCAACATGTACGAAATTCAAAGTAAAAAAAACTTATGACCTATGAGAAAATCATATTCCATTCTTATTAATTAGTTAGCTGCTGTTTTGACACAAAAAAGTTCAAGTTTTAGAAATTATTTTAGTATTTCTTAATTAGCTGGCTGACTTTCATCCATGATGTTAATTGATTGCCAGACTATATGCAGATGTTCTATTGTGAGGCTAATTGGTATATTTTATGACACTCACGACATTTTGAGAAACAACTATTTTGGGATAATTGGATGATATTCTAGTTTTTCTCCAAAGGTAAATGACAAACCGAGCTTACGTAAAACAAAAGTTGAATGCAGTCCATAAGGGGGGGGGGGGGGGTGCTACGCCCTTGTCATGTCACAGCTGTGAGGAGTAGTCTTGAAAGAATTACTTGATATGGGACTTAGAGGAACTAAATATTAAGCATGAGGGTTTTGAATGAGGATGGTTGCCCAAATTCAAAGGCTAATATACAAGAAAATAGTGCTTTAAATCTTCAACAATTCAGAGTCATGTGCTTGAATTCTTTTTACTTTAGTGTTTTACCATCGTATTTTAATCCTACATGCAAACCTATTATATCTAGTTTAGTTTTAGTGAAACATTTTTAATATCCTTAATAAGATGCGATATTTCAGTTATATTTTGTCTGATTGCAAAGACGCACCTGTGCAAAAGATTATAGACGCAAGTGTTTTAAAATACTTATTGACCTTTTAGTTTGACCTGTACTCTTTACATTCCTTTACACTCTTATTAAGATTAAGACTTTATTATAATTTTTTTTAGAAAACTACTGGGTATAGGATAAAGCAGTTATCAGTATGTAACACTTATGTACAGTCAGTTTGGAAATGTAGTATATCCCGCTGGAGATAATCTCCCTCTGGATAAACCCCATATCCAAAACCTTCCAGTACATAACCCTTTTTTATTCTTAGAATAATAACTTCTCAATAAAACATAAACTTTGAATGTGGGACTCATTGCATCAAACCAAACCAACAATCTACTATTGTATAGTATCAAGTTTTCATTTTTATAATCAACACTATCATATAGTTAATCATAAATTCTTAGAATAGAATGAAGCTTCAACACGAATATGCCTTATTAGCATTCTACAGTTTAACGTAGGAGGCATGCAGAATCGGAAATCATATCAGAAATCATAATTAACAATCATAATTAAGTTTAATAATCAGCTACATGTAGATATATGGATTAATTTCGGAGCCTCATGTTTAGTCTTGTTGCATGATAATTAAATTATTCCACATGTATATTGCTTACCTACTGTTTAGATGATTTTATAATCTTAAAGGATAGGTAATGATATGGAGAACTGAATTCAACAATGTTTTTCTCTTAAACCAATCATTGAAAACATTCTGTAAAAAAACATGGTATTTTATGTAATGTTGACTGATTGACAACAATTTATTGCGAAAATTATTTAGAAATATTTTATACAACTGTTTTTGTTAACATTTTTTGTTTTTTTAGTGCAATTGTTTTTGCTCCTTTCTACCAATTCTTGAGAATAAAATAAGATGTCTTTCCGAACCTTGTTGGAACAAAATAGCATATACAACATGTTTTTAGACCTCTCAATATTAAAGTTATACAAAGGAATTTTTGGTTGATTTTGAAAAAGTATTCAAATTAAAACAAAATCCCCCCCAAAAGTATAGAAAAAAATCAAGAAAACCCTTTTATTTCATTAACAAGATACTTTTTTAAAATCAACCAAAATTTCCTTTGTACAATTACAATATTGAGAGACCTTAACATGTTGTGTTTATGTTGTTTTGTTCCAATGAGGTTCGGAAAGATGTTTCATTTCCCTCTGGAAACATGATACCAAGAACAAAACAAGTGTTTGATGTGTTTTTAAAACAATATAGATGAAAGTATGTACCGTATTCTCTGTAATTAGCGCCCAGGGCGTTTAGAAAATTGAAAATACATTATTTAGACCATTCTAATAAGCGCCCATGTATGAAAGAAATCAGAAATCCCGAGGAATTTCATGTATGGCAATTTTTCTTGACAAGAATGCATTTTCTTCAACATATTTTTATAATAATATGACAAGTGCTGTTATTGGAGAGAATACGGTAAAGATCGCTTAAACAATATTGACAGTGGTTGAAGACCCGTCTATGTCTAATTTATTTCCGGCACGCCCACTTTGTCATTATCGCCGATTACCTTCAATATTTCCACTAGAGACTGCTGGATATCGATCTAAAGTTATACATTATTTCTAATTTGATGAGAGATCATCATTATTCGTGCAAAAGTCGTGTAAAAGTCGAGAAACATTAAAAAGAAACCAGAAAGTTCACGACCTTGACATGCGCAGAACATCTGCGCAGTAGCTTTTGAAATTTCTGAATGCCGATAAAGAACAATTCCTTCATTCATTATGGACTATTTGGAGACAATATTAGCATGGTATGGTGTGGGAAGCACCCATCGATAGATATGTATCGAGAGGATGCATAGAATTACAAAACGCGTTGTGTTTACAGCAGTTTTAGGGTAAGTACTCTATTATCGCCCGCTCCTTTTTCCTGATATATTCTTCAATTCTTGTTGATTCCTCGATGTTTCTTGAACTTTGTGAAGCGGGGTGGGCGCTTATTAGAGAGTGGGCGGTAATTACAGAGAATACGGTATATCTATTTCAAATTATATTGTTACCATTCAAAAGATGGCCATTAAATTGACAATTTGTAAGATTTTCAAAAATTTTTGATGACTGGTTTAAGAGAAACGTGTGTTCAAAAAGTTCGCAATATCGATACCCATTCTTTCTGTAAATATCTTTCACAAATCAAGCTTAGGTAGTTCATGTATCCAGGACATTTAAATCATGCAACTTGACTCTTTAGTTATAATTCTAAAGGTTTTCTTTTGAAAAATTACACTGTCTACCCAAGGTGTATGGGGAGGGCTTATTTGTATCATAAAATGCAAATACATGTATATACCCCCAAAATGCAATCTGATTTTCAATGCCGTTTCGGTGCCAAATTTCGGTGTCGTTTTGGCACCAAATGGACTGACTAGTCTGGTAGCAGATTTTGGTATCCAACGGTTTCGGTGCCGGAACGGTGTCGAAACGGTGCCGGAACAGTGCTGAATTTTTTTGATGCCGAAACGGCGTCGAATTATATTGGCTGTGTACAAATAATTATACACTTGGTGTATCTTTGTTACATATTTGGATAATATGAGGTTATATAATGGTTGATTCCGTATATCGTGTTTATACTCAAGTGAGTATTTGATATATTCACGAGTGACTGAAGGGAACGAGTGAATATATCATATACTCACGAGAGTATAACGATATACAGAATCAACCATTATATGATCTTATTATCCCACCCTTATCTTTAATCAATAAAAGGTTAATCTAAATTCAGCAGTTGTATATCAAGTCGAAGAGTTGTATACGCTGCCCAGGAGTTGTTTACGCTCTCCAGGAGTTGTATATCGTTCTCAAGAGTTGTATAGGATGAGAGTTGGTTTTATATTGCAGTTATACAATGCTATTATACAATCATATAAAGCACTTAGGGTGGGATAATCTTCGTTATATTATTCTTTGGGTTGTCACTGAAATCATAAATGTACATTTGACAAGCTTATTTCAATTATTAAATATTGCTTTGCTAAAGAGTTGACATTTAGTTTGAATGAAGAAAAATTAATGTGTCATACAATCTGAATTTTCAAAATGCTTATCAATTTAAGTAGATTTTTGACATAATATATGACCAAAAGGTCACTATGTTTATTGTTAAAAGACAGAAATCTTGTAGCAATTGAGGTCTTTGGCAATGGCCAGAATAAAATTTGATGTCATATATTTAACATAAATCATAAAATTGAGGTCTTTGTTATGATTCTAATATGATAAACAGACAACAACAATATTCTAATATGATAAACAGAAATGCAACTATTTGCATTTATGAATTTTAGCGGTTGTATCATATTAGAATTCAGTTTTGGTGTGTCAGTTTAGGGGAAAGAAGCTGTTCTACATGTACTCCCGTGACTCAATGGAGGCTTCTCATTTCTGAGGCCTGTCAGTGTGTTTGATGCGGTCACGGACGCAATTTGAAAAAAATATGTTTTTATATGTACCAGAACTTAATAGTATGACTGTTGCAAATGTCTGAATGAATGGAGGTAGCGTGAAAAATAACTGAACTGTTTTAATTATTGTACTTGTCATGTTTGAAAAGAGAAATAAAAAAAAAAATTTTTTTTAAAAATCTCAGGAAAAATCCCCAGGGAAATAACAGCATATTAGGCAATCAGTTCAATTTTTTATTTACTGTACAGTGATCTTAGTAACTTTATGATGGTTTTGAGCATTACTGGGAATGGAGTCAATATGCAGTTGAAATTAAAGGTAAATTGAGCAATTATAATAAGACCTTAAATCAGTGTATCTCTGATGTCTTAAAACTATTTCTGGTAAAAAATGTGAAACGATACACTTCTTGAATGTGATGTAACAAACTTTTAATTATTGATAGATTAAACTTTTAATACTTCAGTACCACCTGATTACTCAATAAATTGGATTGGAATCCTCTACATCACCTGCTCTACTGCACTATCATCATTATTCAAGGTTCCTTCTTTTAATGTCAACCAGTACGTTTTTTATTTTTAATCATTTATTTCATAAATTAAGTTTATGGTAAGTTATAATTGTTATACCGCCTAGGTTTGAACATAAAAATTGTTGGCAGACATTAATTAATGAGGATGTATCATGATCTTCTTAGATAATTAATGAGAATGTATCATGTTCTGAGACTTATGATTACACATATTATCTTATGATGATTCCAATGAATTCAAAGGTATCATTATTCTGTCATTTTGCATTGCCTCTTTTGCAATGCCCATAGTTAATGAGCTAATCATATATTTGGTAAAATATATATTTTGTGTTCTTATACATCATCAACATCGTCATCTATCAGTCGTCTTATATATAATAATAATTGTATTTCAATCAATTCTGAATAAACATAATCTCTTTAGAATAACTTGTCGGATTTTTGCTCTTGCTCTGTTTTGTAACACTTTTTGGCTCACACAGTGAGCCTATGGGATCGACCAGGCGTCCGTCCGTTTGTCCGTCCGTCCTTAGTCTTTTCCTTTCGACACCTGTCCTTACATATTTAGAGGTTATGTCATTATCAGGGCATGCTGGAGGTTCTTAGTGATATAAGAGCCGTCCTTGCAATTTCTAAAAATTGCATGCACAGTTTTATTTTCAGTTGATCAGTCAGTACACACTTAGTAGTCCCGGCACCTTGACCAATCATTTAGCGGGTTTAGGGTTTTCAAAACTTAAATTTGGGTGTATGTGACATCGTGTGAGATTTTTATGAAAAGTGTTTGCATTCGATAGGTTGATTTTTCAAATATGACTGGCCATTGTCCAAATTGAGAGGTGTTCACATTTTAAGTATTTTTAACATGGGAGTCATTGGGAGGAAAAAACGGACCAAAATAGTGTTCAGAATCATTGAGAGGTGTTTGGATTAGCAGGGTGTTCAGATATACAGAGTTTTACTGTATTTGGTAATTTCTGTGCTTTTTTGATGTGTTTGAGTGTTAGAGGAGAATATGGCTATTTTTCAAATTTTAGACGTTTTCAGGACTAGATCTCCCGTGCCCCTTATTGAAAACATGATCAGTCCCAAAGGCATGGCAGACAACTATTATGCATCATTTAATATACATTTATTTATTTATTTAGATATTACGATACAATATTATATTTTATATTATTTTATACAACATTACATATTATCATTTGTAAGTTTACTCTGTAATACTGCTGTTTGTTCCAAATTAATTATGTTTCCACTGTAACCCTGCTGTTTGTTCCAAATTAATTATTATCAAGTTCCAATGAAGGCACATATGTCACCTACAATGATGTAATTGTCTGATCCAATAATCAACTCTCGTGTTCTCAACGTTCATTAATTTGGCTCAGCATAATAATTTCATTCATAAATACTGAAAAATCCCACTCATCTATTAGACTACAATCTTATAAATGTTAATTCATTATTACAAGGAATATGTTTTTGTACAGATTTTTCCCCAAAAGTTATTTACCTAATATTGATTTTTTTCTCAAGTACATTTTGAATTTTTTAGTTTTACTGTGACAGTTAAACATCCCTGGGGTGGCCAGGTTACATGCCATAAACATGTGTTTGATTGAAGTTTAGATAAAAAAGAAGATATTTTATTTTAATGTTGTTATCATAATGTGCCAATGGGATTCATTCTCATCTAGACAATATCTAAAAAAACAATATCAAAAATATATAACTACATGTAAGTGTACAGAAGAGACAATAAGTAAAATATCCTGTTTTGAGAACTTAGATAATTTTTTAAAGGGATATTTTAGTAACCCAAAATATTACAGACGAGCTAAGTACACTCACGATACAACAGAGAGACAACTTTTCTGACATCCTTTAACAATTTGTAACGTAAGCAGTCCTGATGTTTGAAAAGCTGATGTCTCATAAAATTCTTATGTTATTTTACATTGAGCAAAATTCACTTATCATTCATTCAGAAAATTAGATTGATACTATGCTGATAATACATCACACTGACACTTTTACATTTCATAATGCTGTTTTTACAATTGACTTGTATTTAATTAAGTCTACTTTTCATTAGTTTAGTACCCTTTGCATTCGTTCAACTTCACTTCTTAAAAAAATATCATAGTGTTCACCCTGCACGCAGAGTCTTGTTATAACAAAGACGAAGCTGTCTTTTAAGAAGCGAAGTAGTACAAATACAAAGGGTAGTTTATAACTAGATTTAAGTATAAGAATATGTTTAAGTATATTTTACATTGAAATGACCAATATGTCATTGTTTGGACACCTCCGAGCCAGTAATTAATTAGAATTAAATTTTTCATTAAATATATTCTACAGTACATAATATTTCCAAGAATCAAACCTATTTATGGATACTATTAGTATAGACTTAGCATGTAGTTTCAAATAGGCCTATCTCAAATGATAGTATTTACATTATCTCAATCAGGAGCTGATTTTATATGCAATTTGATAAACCTTGATTATGTAAATTAATGTGCATTTTTGTATCACCCTGTATTATTCCAATTAGGTTGTGTTTGTGCCATGATCTAAGTAGAAGCCTAATGTGAAAACATAATACAATGTATTGTATTATCGTATGATCTGTAAAATGAAGTCCTCTGATTGGTCAGTTATTGTGCTGTACCAACCTGTATTGCTACTGAGATTGTCTCCGTTGATCAACTCTGTCGCAATACAGAAAATATTGGTACGGAGGGGACATTCTCAGTAGCAATACAGACCATCACACGATAAAAATGTTATTGAATGATTTGAAGTGCAATACAGGATATATTCTGTCTTGATATTCTGTATTGGCACTCGACTTCGTCTCGTTCCAATATGGAATTCTCGAGCAGAATATATCCTGTATTACACTTCAAATCATTCAATAACTTATAATATTGCAATTCAGTTTTATCTTCAGTATATTTCTAACTAAAAGTAGTAGTACAGGGTGACACAAAATGTTACTCTCTAATTTTGGAATAATTTCTCAAATATGATGTAATCTTTGTGATTTTATTTAAGTTAGATTGAATGTTCCATAGAGGAAACAATGGTGTACAGTACTTATTTTGCATCTATTATTTTGAGATTTAGAGAAATCATGTTTTCCATCCAGGATGCTCTTGCATGTAATTGTCCAAAAACAATTTCTTAAAATTACCTAATAAGTCAGTTTGAACTTCATCATATTTGAAAAAAAATTGTATTTTTGGTCGATTTCACGTTAGAGCATACCTAGATGGTAAACATGATTTCAATCTTAGATGCAATGTAGCTACACAACTGTAGCTACATCATGTTTGAAAAAGTGATTCCAAAACTAAAGGGTGCATATTTTGTGTCGCCCTGTATTTCACTGTAAGGATTCACTTGTACTTGTACATGTACTTAAATAATATGGTCAAACTGCCATAAAGTTATCGTTTACAAGGACACAACAACTGTTTAAAATTCTTACGAAACCGAGCACTCATGAGAGCATATAAAAATGGGTTGCATGCACTGTTGACCCATAATAAAAAGTTTGCCGCCTCATATAAGTCTTTATCAACAGTGTCCGGCGTGACTGACTCAATGAATGTCATAATGGTATATGGGCACCAGCACATGAAATATACGACAACAAGGATACTTAAAGATCTAGCAGCCCTTCTGTCTCGGCGGAGAACAATTTGGTTCGCCTTGTTTTGATTTCTGATAATCGCACCTTGTGGCAGGCTCATAGTACGAGAACTAGTAGGAGCATTGTCACTGGTTGTGGCATAATGATATGTTCTCTGAACGCCACTATTCTGTCCTTTGCAGTGTTGATCTGTTTGGTCCAAGTTATTTTGATCTTCTCTCTGACCCATACTAAGGTCATCTTGTTCCACTCTCTGGCCTTGACATTGGTCATGTTGACTTGAAACTTGGGGACGTTGACCTTCTATCTCATCTTGGTGAAGTTGACCTTCTCTCTGACTTATGTTGATGTCAAGTTGATCCTGTATTTGTCCTTCAGCTGTGTCTTGGTCTTGGCCTACATTTTGACTTTGCACCTGGACATGTTGACATTGAGCTGGGTCACATTGACATTCCCTCAGTTCCTGAGGTTGGTCGTGTTGACTTTCTTCCTGGCCGATGTCTTGATTATGTGGCCTTAGACCATGTGGTTTGTCATTTTGTCCTTCTCCTTGACTTATAGCCTGTTTGTGTCCACTTCCTGTTTGAGCTGATCCAGTTTCTTTATCTTTCGATCTTTCAATTTTTAGTCCCTCACTTTGTGTTTGGTACGAGGATATACCAGCTGAAGCGACTTTTCTGCTACGATCCCTGATGTTCAGATAAACGCGGAGATTCAAATATGCAGTCAGAACCAGCGGGATAAAGAACTCGAGGATGGCAGTAGTCAGAGTATACTCCATGTTGTTAAAGAACTCAACATCACAGTCATCTTCAGCCGTTGTTCTTCGCCCGATCCAATATTCCCAAAAAATAATAGCCGGTCCATATAACAAAAATGACAAAATCCAGGAACAGATGATATAGACCACAGCTTTTCTTACTGTTTGTTTTGCTGTGTATGACGCCCCCTGGGAAATAAGCATGAAACGATCAAAGCTGATCAGAACGATTGTCAGCGAGGATTCAGCACAAACCAAAAAGTCAATTACCAGCCATATTTTGCACCATAAACGTCCAAAAGTCCATGTATAATTGTTGATTGTGTAGAATACATAAAAAGGTAGACTCACCACTCCCACTGCTAAGTCAACTATCGATAGATTAAAAATGTAAATATTTTGTACTGTACGTAATTGCCTATCTCTGAGGAAAGATACGATTGTCAAAACATTTCCTAAAACTGTGACAATTACAAGGAACAATAATGTCACTCCAATAACATATTTCAATTCGAGAGAAAATCCATCTTCAAATTCTTCATCCTCAAACACTTCAATTGATGAATTGCGAAAGCTCATTTTGTCCAATAAATGACTTCATGAAACATACCTGTAGAACTTTATAATGTCACTCCATAATAGCATATTTTTTTATTCAAAAGAAAATCAATCTTCAAATTCTTCATCCATTCTTGCGATCACTCATTTTGTCTGGTAAATGTCTTCTCGACGTTCCTGTGTACAACTGAATTTAATTAAGTCATCCGGGTAAATATATACTGTAAATAGATAATTTTCCCCACGTGGCATGAGCAATTTGTCAAAATGAACATATGACAGTATACATGTAGTAACTATATACTAACTATAAGTACATACCAGTAAATATAGTTATTATACTACTTTATATAATACTCTATAAATATAAAATAATTGTCTTTGATATTGATTTGATCTTTATCATATTGCATTAAAACCCATTAATGAGTATAATACGATCCTCCTCACGGATAAGGTTGCAAAAATTAAAATGTGCAAATAATTCAATAATCCAATCTCTTAATAATTATCAAACTGCAGTAAACCTCATGTGGTGGATGCAACTAAATGCCTGGCTATATGCAACTAAATGCAAGGCTATATGCAACTAAATGCAAGGCTATATGCAACTAAATACAAGGCTATATGTTACTAAATGCAAGGCTATATGCAACTAAATGCAAGGCTATATGCAACTAAACGTAAGGCTATATGCAACTAAATGCAAGGCTATATTCAACTAAATGCAAGGCTATATGTTACTAAATGCAATGCTATATGCAATTAAATGCAAAGCTATATGCAACTAAATGCAAGGCTACATGCAACTAAATGCAAGGCTATATGCAACTAAATGCAAGGCTATATGTTACTAAATGCAAGGCTATATGCAACTAAATGCAAGGCTATATGTTACTAAATGCAATGCTATATGCAATTAAATGCAAGGCTATATGTTACTAAATGCAATGCTATATGTTACTAAATGCAATGCTATATGTTACTAAATGCAATGCTATATGCAATTAAATGCAAGGCTATATGCAACTAAATGCTAGGCTATATGTTACTAAATGCAATGCTATATGCAATTAAATGCAAGGCTATATGCAACTAAATGCAAGGCTATTTTTGTCATGGCAAGTATCTTTTTGTTGTGCCATTCACAATATCTAGCTCAGAAAGAATGGTACTCTCCTCTACTCAATGGGAATATAACACTAACATTAATGAGAGAAATTAAGTTCATTTTTGCTTTGTTGAATAACTTGTTAAGATTGTTAATTTACTGGTGATATGAGTTTTGATTGTTTATATAACAAATGGTTGGGACTCTCATATTGATTTATTAAAGGCACATTTTTAGGTTAAGCCATTATGTCACCACTACTAGATGTGACATATTGTTCGGGTTTCTAACTTTTTGTGAACTGTGTTCAGCATCTGGCGGTCAGTGGTCCGCATTTGGCATTCGGAGTTTGGTATCTATATCAAATGGCAGGTGGTGACATTTTGCATGTGAATGCCTTGTTATCATTTGTTCTTACGAAAGATTAAAGGAAACTGAATAAGATCCTTTAACAAGTTGATAATACATCATAGTATGTGAGTCTTCTAGTCTCACAACATTCGATATTCCCTGTAGAAATACATTAGGTGATGAACACCTTTGTTTTTTGCTCAGGGGGTGTTTAAGTAACAGAAGTTTATCTTACATTATGTACTGTAATTAGAAACCTGACCTAAAGGGGCATTTTTTATATATAAAACATTAAGTGCTTATTGTATTGATTTGGATTCACACATGTATCAATGACACTGGTAATCCACTCCATTACACTGGTTACCAAAACGGTGGGGATTCTGCCTACAACACGTGAAATAAGGAAAAAAGAAAAGGTACCTTCGACGTTCCGACATTTTGTTACCGAACCGGTTCGGTTACCAGCGTAATTGAGCAGATCACCAGTGAATGACCTTGCTATGACGAGAATGTTCATTAAGCTCACAGTTGTCCAAAGTCCATGTGACAAACTATGGCATTGAAACAATTTCTCAATTTGTTCACCAATATCTTTGCCATTTTTGATTACCCTAGGGATCGTTTCTGGTATGATTGTTGCTTACGGTTCAGAGAAAACTATTGTCTACTTTTTGACGAACGATGACTTTTAGACCATATTATATGTTAAGACAGTTTCAAAAAGAGACCCCTTGGAAGGAAACTATTTATTAGAATGTATACAATGAACTTGATATGTGATTATCTCCCTCCTTTCTAAAAGGGGCTTAATGGAAACAATATGTGATTTCTTAAGCCTCTGAGAATTTATCAATAACATTGGAAGGAGCCAATAATGTGAAATATTTCGTACACACCTATGAACATAATAGTGACTTATTGGCAATAAAGAGTATTTATTGTCACGAGATACAGAATTTCCTGAAGCATTCATGCCTGTGAGAACTGTGCCAACATTACAAAAGGTTTGGTAACAATCCTATTAACTTCTTCATTTGATACTCAAATTAATTGAGTAATATAGATTAAATGTATCAGGATTTCTCAACTTCCTAATGTATTTGCATTCAATATATTGAGCCTCTTACTATCATATTCTTCGATAGGCTTTATATCTCCAAGTCAGGTAAAATGAGGCTTTAGAAATGAACTTTCATTCACTTTTCAACACCAACTAGAGACAAGTTGAGGGTAACATGATTTTACAATATACAGGGTGTCCAGAATGTCTCTTTGCAATTACAATACTATGTATGTGTAAAGTGTAAAGAAATTTTAGGGACACCCTGTATTGCCCAAAACACAAGTCCAACGATTCTGAATTGTTCACGATTATGCTTCAATTTAACAGTTATAGGTAAATAATTTGATATTCCCTTTATTAGTGCAATAGGTTTTATTTGGACATTTCTGCATTTTGAATATTCAAGAACTTCCATGTTTGGTCAGATATATCAATTACTATCTTATTTAATTGAAAACGATTGTAGTAAATTTTAGCATTTTACAAACTAATCTTTGAAAAATTTAAAAATACAAAGGATAGAAAGTACACACTCTGATGATCTTTTCAAAAATTATTCCTATTTTATTTTCTAAAAAAAAGAATTGTAATATCTGATCAAATATGGAATTTATTGGAAATTTAACAAGCAAACTGTCAATATTCACCAGAATTGGAAAGGGGAAGGCAACTTTTCTCAATTGAATTTTGCCAGATAACCTATAAGGCAAATGAAGGATTGAGGCACAACTGTTGTTTTTTAAGAAAAAGGCATAACATGGAATGATGAGAGTACATTTTTTTTATAAAATTCTGACAATTGTTTTTGTCCCTTTAACACATACTGTGATTGGACACTTCTCAGAGTAAAGATTAAGTGCGCCTAATAAGTCAAATGCGAGTAGGTATTCACCAGTTCCGCCACCAGGTGGCTTAATCGGGGAAATAACATGGCAGGGTAGTACCCTTTATGTATCTGATAGTCATACAAATTGAAATATGTCCATTAAAAGAAAATATCTGCCCAAGAAAAGAAGAAAACAAGAACAAGAAAAGATATTTCACATTTTGTGATTTTACAACATGGGATCTTATATGGGTAATCTCCCCGACTCAGAAGTCACATTTTCAAAGAAAAGTAAATTTTCAAAGTTGATAAACTCTTTTCAAAACTACATTTCAAATGTGATTTTACATGTAGATTCCAAATATGACATCAATTTGACTGAATTTTGACTTTAATGAAGAAAATCAAGATTATTACTACTTGCATGATCGCATCTAGTCTATTGAATCATTACTTTGTTTAATTAACTTGGCCATTTTGAATGACATGATCAGACCAGGTGGGAAGGTTGCATTTGAAATCCCAAGTTTGGGATTGTGTTTGAAAATGTGGGCCTAGTTTTGAAGAATTTTTTACTATTAGAAATCAAGCACCTTTGTTTTTCAAATAAGGCCAATTTTCTCAAAGATAGTCGGGCCAAAATAGGATTTGGAAAAGTTGACTGAAGATGATGTTGGATATCTATCTACAAAAATACTATATATAATACATGTACATTACACAATAAATGTAAAATATATTCTATTCTATTTCAACCTTTTATATCTTACATATTAGCTTGTTTTCATCTCTTTAACATTTCAAAGTATAGGTATTTACATACTTTAAATCAATAATGCTTGATTATTGTTTGTAAATCGATTCTCTTTAAAGTGATTATAATAACAAAATGCATGTAAATAAAAAACTGTTAAGTCTCACAAGTGGTTATAAAGTTTATAAAAATACATCTACGGTTAATACATATATTTGCATCATAATGAAACACAGTAACATCTGAATCACAAGTCTATATATTCTTGATTTGTATCAGATGCCAATATGAGTGTATCTAGTGGCAATTCACAATAAGTCCCTGTATACTGGGGAAGACACTGGCATGTGAATCTGCCTTTTTCTGGGTGACAAGTACCTCCATTGAAACATGGCCGACTTATGCAATAGTCTATGATTGTTTCACATAATACACCGGTGTAGTGATCATGGCAGCAACATGATTGGTTAAAACAAAAGCCATTGACACATCCAGCTGGGATTGGACATTCTGGGTCGTAAATTGGAGGAACTGTCCTAAATTTGCAGTCATTTTCAGTTATGCTTGACCAACCTGGGTTGCAGATTCTCGCCCCTGTTGTTCTGTCACATGTATAGTGCCCATTCTCGCAGCTGTCCTGTGGGGCACAGTAGGTGTTGCATTCAGGGGGGTTGTAGTAGCCAGGCGGGCAGCCACTAGGTGGCACTGAACAGTTGATGCCAGTGTAGCCTTCTGGACATGCACATCGATATCCTCCATCTGGATTTTGTAAGCATGTCCCTCCATTCTGACATGGCTGACTTATACATGATAGGTAACTCTCACAATGTACTCCAGTGTAGCCATCCCTGCACAAACATTGGTAGCCGCTCTCTGAAGGCTGACAAGATGCCAGGTTCTGGCACGGTTCACTATTACATGCAGATATAGGAGTTTCACATCTAGAACCTGTAAAGCCAGGCGTACAGCAGCACGTTTTTTGATGACATTGTCCAAAATTAAGACAGACACCAATATCAGGGCATTCTGGATCTAGTATTGGTGGGAGATTGCGTACCTTGCAGTCTGTGCCATACCAGTTAGGTAAACAGTCTTTAGTCCCGGTGTTAGGATCACATGTGTAATGCCCCCTTTCACAGTCATCAGCAGCTAAGCAGTACACTTCACATCTAGGCCCATAGTAATTTGGAGGACAGGATGCTATGAAGCTCTCACAGTTACTTCCTGTGTAACCTGGCAGACATTCACATCGGTATTCATTCTCACTAGTGATGCATGTACCTCCATTTAAACATGGATTGCTGGTACATGGTGTGATTGGAACTTCACAAAATGCTCCAGTCCAGTTGTCTATACAGCAACAAGTCTTGTTGAAACATTGTCCATTGCTACATGGCCGAGCATCAGGGCAGTCAGGATCCACAGGAGGCGGAGTTTCTTTCAGGGTACAGTTTATCTCTGGGGAACTCCAGCCAGGCAAACAGAGCTTAGCACCAGATGTTGGGTCACATGCATAATGACCTCCTTCACAACTGTTTGTGGCAAAGCAGAACACACTACACCCAGGCCCGTAATAGTGAGGTGGACAGTTTGGTATGTATGTTTCACAGTGCCTTCCTGTATAATCTGGCAGACACGTGCACATATAGCCATTTTCTATGATGTTGCAAGTGGCACCATTCTTACATGGATTGCTAGAACAAGGACTTATTATGTTTTCGCAGCGGGGACCATAATAATTACCATAGCAGCAACATGTCTTCTTATGACACTGTCCCCCTACACATGGGCTATCATCAGGGCATTCTGGATCAATTATTGGGGGTTCAGTCCTCAATGTACAATTATAGTCTGGCCAACCCCACCCAGCTCTGCAGATTTTGGCTCCTGTGTCGGGGTCACAAGTGTAATGGCCATTTAAGCAGTCATCAGCATCTAAGCAGTATACCTCACATCTAGGCCCATAGTAATTTGGAGGACAGGTCTTTATGTAGGTCTCACAGTTCTGTCCTGTGTAGCCTATAGGACAAATGCAGTTGTATCTATCTCCAACAGCCTGACATGTTGCTCCATTCAAGCATGGCTGACTTGTGCATGAAGTAATGGGGATTTCACACCTTTGTCCAGTGTGGTTGGCATCGCAACAACATGTTCCATTATGACATTGCCCATAAACACATGGTTCGGGAGGGCATTCTTGGTCAACTACTGGGGGCACTGTCCTCAATGTGCAATTCCATTCTGGTCTATCCCATCCATTTCGACATATCTTGGCTCCTGAGTTAGGATCGCATGTATAATGTCCCCTATCACAATCATCAGCAGCAAGGCAGTATACCTCACATCTAGGCCCATAGTAATTTGGAGGACAGTTCCTTATGTAGGTTTCACAATTCTGTCCTGTGTAGTCTTCAGGACAAAAACAGGTATAACCACCTTCAATAACCTGGCATGTCCCTCCATTCAAGCATGGTTGACTTGTGCATGTAGTTATGGGGATTTCACACCTTGATCCAGTGTACTTGTCATAGCAACAGCATGTTCCATTATGACATTGTCCATAAACACATGGTTCGGGAGGGCATTCTGGGTCAACTACTGGGGGCACTGTCCTCAATGTGCAATTCCATTCTGGTCTATCCCATCCATTTCGACATATCTTGGCTCCTGAGTTAGGATCGCATGTATAATGTCCCCTATCACAATCATCAGCACCAAGACAATATACCTCACATCTAGGCCCATAGTAATTTGGAGGACAGTTCCTTATGTAGGTTTCACAATTCTGTCCTGTGTAGTCTACAGGACAAAAACAGGTATAACCACCTTCAATAACCTGGCATGTCCCTCCATTCAAGCATGGTTGACTTGTGCATGTAGTTATGGGGATTTCACACCTTGGTCCAGTGTACTTGTCATAGCAACAGCATGTTCCATTATGGCATTGCCCATAAACACATGGTTCGGGAGGGCATTCTGGGTCAACTACTGGGGGCACAGTCCTCAATGTGCAATTTAATTCTGGTCTATCCCATCCATTTCGACATATCTTGGCTCCTGAGTTAGAATCACATGTATAATGACCTCTATCACAATCATCAGCTGCTAAGCAAAATGTCTCACAGTTAGGCCCAAAGTAGTTGGGTGGACAAACTCTAATAGAAATCTCACAGTGAGTTCCTGTGAAATCAGGCAGACATGTACAAGTGTAGGTGTTGTCCACCAAGTTGCAAGTTCCACCATTCTGACATGGTTCACTTGTGCATGGTGTTATAAGAATTTCACAGTATTGTCCATGATAGTTATCAAAACAACAGCATGTTTTCTTGTGGCATTGACCATGAATGCATGGGGATTCATCAGGGCATTCTGGATCAATTATTGGAGGTACTGTCCTCAATGTACAGTTCAATTCTGGTCTATCCCATCCTTCTCTACATATCTTGGCTCCTGAGTTAGGATCGCATGTATAGTGTCCTCTATCACAATCATCTGCCTCCAAGCAATAAATGTTACATTCTGGTGGGTTAAAGTAGTTAGGAGGGCACTGCCCAATAGCTGTTTCACATAAGATTCCAGTGAAACCTTGTACACAAGTACATGTAAACCCTCCTAATGAAGGAATACAGGTACCCCCATTCAGACAAGGTCTGCTTAAACAGTAGTCAATGTTTGTTTCACATCGATCACCGGTGTAATGATTGTCACAGCAGCATCCCTGTCTGTAGCATCTTCCATTAACACATGGAGAGTCAGTTGGGCAATCTGGATCAGATGGTGGTGGTATTGTTTTGACTTTACAGTCAATTTCAGGTTCAGCATAACCAGGAAGGCAAATTTTTGTACCAGTATATTGATCACATGTATAATGTCCTCTCTCACAATCATTTGCAGCCAAGCAATAGTTATTACATTCTGGTGGGTTGTAATAATTGGGGGGACAGTTGTATGTTTCACACAACATCCCTGTGAAATTTGGAAGACATGTACATACATATCCACGTCCACCAGCTGCTGGACTGCATGTTGCCCCATTTTGACATGGTTGAGTGCTACAGTAATCAATAATTGTTTCACATCGATCACCGGTGTAATGATTGTTACAGCAGCATCCCTGTCTGTAGCATCTTCCATAAACACATGGAGAGTCAGTTGGGCACTCTGGATCAGATGGGGGTGGTATGGTTTTAATTGTACAATTGTTTTCAGGCATTGTATATCCAGGTAAACAAAACTTTGACCCCGTGTTGGGATCACAAGTATAATGCCCTCTATCACAATCATCTGCAGCAAGACAGTACACATTGCAAGCAGGTGGGTTGTAGTAATTTGGAGGACATTGTGGATCATATGTTTCGCAATGAGTGCCCGTGAAGTCCCTTGAGCAAGTGCACGTGTACCCACCTACAATTTGATTACATGTGCCTCCATTCAAACAAGGCTGGCTTATGCAGTAGTTTATAAATGTTTCACATCTAGTGCCAGTGTAATGTTCATTACAGCAACACCCTCGTCTATAACATCTTCCATAAACACATGGAGAGTCAGTTGGGCAATCTGGATCAGTTGGTGGAGGAATTGTCTTGAATTTACAGTCATTTTCAGGAACTGCATATCCAGGCAGACAAACTTTCGCTCCTGTATTGGGATCACATGTATAATGCCCTCTATCACAATCATCTGCAGCAGAACAGTAAACATTGCAAGCAGGTGGGTTGTAGTAATTTGGAGGACATTGCGGGTCATATGTTTCACAATGAGTGCCTGTGTAGTCAATCAAACAAGTACATGTGTAACCACCAACAATAGGATTGCATGTTCCTCCATTTAAACATGGTTGACTGATACAGTAGTTGAAGAATACTTCACATCGATTGCCAGTGTATTGGTTGTCACAACAGCATCCTCGTCTATAGCATCTTCCATTAACACAAGGAGAATCAGTTGGGCAATCTGGATCGGATGGTGGTGGAATCGTCTTTACTTTACAGTCATTTTCAGGAACTGCATAACCAGGAAGACAAATCTTAGCACCAGTATATTGATCACATTCATAGTGTCCTCTATCACAATCATCTGCAGCCAAGCAATAAATATTACACTCTGGTGGGCTATAGTAGTTTGGAGGGCATGGAGAATCATATGTTTCACATAAAGTCCCAGTGAAATATGGAAGACAGGTACACACATATCCACCAACTACTGAAGTGCATGTTGCCCCATTTTGGCATGGTTGACTGCTACAGTTATCAACGATTGTTTCACAATAAAGTCCTGTGTATCTGGGATTGCAATGACATATCACACCACCAAGAATGTCCTGGCAGGTTCCTCCATTTTGACAAGGCCGACTATAGCAATAAGGTATAGCTGATTCACAACGAGATCCCATGTAATGCTCCCGACAGCAGCAGTTACTATTCCAACAATACCCATAAATACATGGAGTGTCAGTTGGACAGTTTGGATCATTCTCTGGTAGTGTAATTTTTGTCTTACAATCGTTTTCTGGGTTTGCATAAGTTGGTCGACATTCTTTTTGACCTGTAAGTGGATTGCATGTATAATGTCCATATTGACAGTCATCAGCTGGTATACAATATACATCACAGTTTGGCCCATAGTAGTTTGGTAGGCAGATTGATTCTTCACATTGAATTCCAGAGAATTGAGGAAGACATTGACAGATATATGTACCACTAACTTCAGAACAAGTTCCCCCATTTTGGCAAGGGTTGCTATGGCATGGGTTGATTGGTAGATCACATCTATCCCCACCATGGTTATCATCACAACAACATCCTTGGTTGAAGCAGTAGCCATTTACACAAAATGATGGTGAAGGACAGTTTGGATCACGTTCTGGTGGTGTACTTTTTAGTTTACAATCATTGATTGGATCGTTATATGTTGGACGGCATAGCTTTTGTCCGGTCACTCTGTCACAGGTGTAGTGTCCTCTGACACAGTCATTAGCGGGTAAACAGAACATAGAACAAGTAGGTCCATAATAGTTTGGATCACAGAGATTTGTCTCACAATTCTTTCCTGTGAATTGTGGCAAGCAGGTGCAAGTATAACTACCTAATTGTGATGTGCATGTCCCACCATTAAGACATGGGGCACCTTCACAGTAGTCGACTGGTATTTCACAGAATGTTCCTGTATAATGATCATCACAGCAGCAACCTTGGCGAAAACATGTTCCACGTATGCATTGTCCTGTAGTGGGACAGTCAGGGTCAATCTCTGGTGAGATAGTCTTCTCAGTGCAGTTCATCAATGAATTTCTCCAACCTTGCCTACAAATCTTTGCTCCACTTAATTGATCACATGTATAATGTCCTCCATCACAGCTGTTTTGAGCTTGGCAAAATACTTCACATGTTGGACCGTAATAGTTTGGTGGGCAGCCAGTTCTTGTCTCACAGTTGATGCCTGTTGATTGCTCTGGGCATGTACAGATGTAACCACCCCCTCCTGGTCTTTCGCGACACGTGCCTCCATTTTGGCATGGGTTACTCAAACAGTACCTAATAAGTTCATCACAGAGAAACCCAGTATAGTGTTCTTCACAGCAGCAAGCCTGTCTGAAGCATTGTCCCCTTACGCAGAACCCACTATCAGGACACTGTGGATCTAAGGCTGGTGGGAGAGAACGTTCGGTACAGTTGGGACCTTCCCAGTTTTCTAGACATATTTTCTCACCATTAGGGCCACACGTAAAGTGACCTGTGCAATCATCTCGAGGTACGCATGTATTCTGTACACCAGTATCCACCTCAATGATTGGACTGCTCCCCACCTGAAAATAGATACAAGGAAAATATTAAATATCATGGAGTGTCATCACATAATATTAATAATGAAGTATAAGACACTTACTTATCTGTCCAAAGGTAGACAAATAAATGATACAGCGTGTATAATCAAAAATTGAATTTTTTAAATGTAAGGTATTTGTAAGTTAGTTCCATCTTTTATCCCCTGGTTGCTAGTACTTAGAGGGACTAGAAGTGATAGAGACATGTTTGATATTCATAAGAATCACAATGGTGTTCTGTGTTATAATGTTATTTATTATGTTAGGAACCTTGATCTTACTTTATGATCACCCTGTATTTTTAATTTATTTACCTCTTAAATAAAAGAAAGGTGTAATCACATTAGATATTAATCTGAGGTAGATGTTACAATGATAACCATAACATGATGCAAGGTCAATATGTTGTTGTGAATTAAACATGGAATGTTTTCATAAGTAAAATAGATGGCAGAATTATCAACTTGAGTGAAGAACTGATAAAAATCTAAAATAGTGAAGAGGTTGATTTAATGAAATATCATTTATTTAAAAGGGGCACTAAAGAATAAAGACAAGTTCTGAGTGACATTCTAAAATATTTTTCAACTTTTTTGCTCATTGATATTCCATGTTATACTTATTTTCAGAAAATAAAAGTCAAAGTACTGAATTATTTTGCGGTGATTCTTCAAATCTTAAGAATACCTAGTGGTAAGTTGATGCCCCCCCCCCCCCGCCTTTCAGTTCTATTGAATTTGAATATTTTGTGGATTAAATCTACTCCTTTGATCAGATATCTGAATTTTTCCCCAGGTTATAAAATCACGATTGTGAAGAAAACATTGATATGCTTTTTGAAAGGATTAGTTCTAATATTTTACACTCGTTATTATTCTTTGCTTAGACTTTAATATAAAACTACTTAAAAATGATACTCGAGTGCAATGTACTTCTGATCAATATTATTATCAATCAAATCATGTTTGGAGTGAGATGAGAAGTGAGATACTCGAAAACATAAGGATATATTGAGATAAAAAGCTTCCAATATTTGATACAAGGGTCTATATAAGTGTAAAATTCAAACACTTTCAGCCCCTCCCATGATAATGGAACCAACAATTAATTACAAAGATGTCACGTTTGTCTCTTAATTTGAATGCAATTGTGAGAAATATGAATGAAATGAACACATGGAGTATGTGCGGTCATGATGTTGGTTTTTGAGATCAATTGACCTGTTTTCAATATGATTGATGCATGGAGGTTTCTCTTGATGGTGTTATATATATGCTGTGGTAAGAATATCAAAAACATATATTACAGGGGTGTAGCCAGTTTTCAGTCAGGGGGGGGTGCGATCGCCTAAAAAATTTCGGTTTTCAGTCAGGGAGAATGCGATTTTGGCATAAACAAGATGATTTGAATTTTACAAAAATTGATTCAGCTTCCTTCAAAATTATGCGATCACACCAATCACCCCCCCCCCTGGCTACGCCTATGTATTATTATATTAATGTATGTGTTTCTTGTAATTTTTTTTGATTAGGAAACATTGTATTCAGCAAATTGAAGCAGATTTAATGTCAAGATTAAATTAAATGGTACACTTTTGCAGGTGAAACACCTCTATAAGTAGAACACCTCTATCAGTAAATATATTCCAAATGAACATTTTTACCAGATGACATTTCATTAACGCAGGTCTTACTGCACTGCCCATTTCTTACAATCAAGGGTTGCACATATTTATTTGTATGCTAAATTGAATTCATTTAATCAGAATTTTATATTTTGATAAAGTAAATATGAGTAAGAATGAGGATTAAAAAGCTTACAAATTGCATTTCAGAATCTGTTTATCAAAAGTGAATTCCACTTTCATATTTTTTTTCTTTTATGAGGTCATTATTATTTTCTTTCTTGAGTCGTAAATAATATTTATGTAGAGCATAATGTCTGCAATATTAGATTTATAGAACATAAGGCTTTTCATTATTAGATTATTTCGTGAAGTTATTGTTAGTGGCAAACATTGTTTCATTGGCTATATATCGTTTTCTTAAGTCTCAATGCCAATTGTGGAAGATAGATGGATCAACATAAATCAACGCCCATGTAATAGTGCATGTTTAGGGGGTTGTAGAAGCTCATTTTGTTTTATGCTAGAAATGAGTTCCTCTTTTAGGTAAAGTATTACGTTGTAGAGATATGTACATCCATTTAAAAGTTAAGGTGTTGTTAAGGGTGTGGTTATTGACTTTACTCTATTTTTATATGCAAAAATTATTTTTTATACATTCTTGAATTATTATGATTATCTTATATATTTTATACGATGGGGTAATGTTCAATCAAAAAGGCATTATTTTTAAACCATTTCTAGAGGGAGCTATGGGGATTTATAATTGAAGTTAACGTTGTTTCACAGAAATATGCTATTTGTGATATTTCAAAATATATTCATGGAGGATCATTTTACAATATTTGATTGAATAACATTTCTTAATGGACCATACTGGAGATAACACTGTGTATTTCATTTGCTCACATTTTTTAGCCCTTATGTAGCTTTAATGACAAGAAATGTCGTATTTGTTCAGCATACGGAACATTAATTCTTCCGCCATTTCTTTGAAATTATCAGAACAAAAAAGTACTTTATTACCTAGCCAAGTAGAAAGGTATTGCTTTTCTGAGACAAATACGATACATATACAAATATTAATGTCAGATTAATAGTGTCATTTGAGATGTCAGGCTACATGCATGATTATGACATCTATTTTTATTTCAATTTAATTATTTTGTGAAAAGTGTAAAAGAAAGTGTAAGCGTTCATCTAACATTTTGTAAATGTTACAGAGGTAACTACAGTATTATGGGTTTCCAAATGGTTGTCCATAAAACATATTTTTGTTAAAACATTTTTAAATATAATTTTGTAAGAGGGTCATATTCGGAAACTATGTACGAAACTAATTTATATATACAGTATCATGATTAAGAAATTAGAAAATCTGAAATTCATAATTCAATTTTCCAAGAATATTTTTCAATTGTCTTGAAAATTGTTTAAAATACATTATCAGCACTCGTGAAAGGTCATGATTGGCATGATGGGAGATATATGTAGACATTTTATTTTAACAACTCATGTAATCCTTATGCTCAATATAGCAATCCTCATTCCAAAGGACAACATAGTGAAATCTTGGCCCAAGTTATCACCACCTATTGAAAACAACTAAAGAATGAACTTGATAGTGATCACTATGGCCTGCCACTATATATCAAGTCAATATAAAGAAGTTGTTCACCAGGAGGGATTTGATATGGGGAATATCACAAGAATGATATCATCTGAGGGATTTTACCCATATCATCCCGACAGGTTAATAACAACCTTATACCATGGTCAAGAGCAATATCTACCTAAAATCGTCTGTTGAATGAGAGAAAAAATGATTGAATCTTGGAAATATTAATGTTACATATTATCCCATTCCAAAGTACATTTAGAATTTAAGGGCAAAAAACATAATTCTTCAAAAAATTAAAAATGAAGATGATTTTTAACCAAAAAATAAAGATATTTGAAAAAAGTTATTTGTAATAAGCAAATTTTTGAAAAAGTGAAAAATTCTGAAAAAATGAGAAATTTCGAAAAAATGAAAAAATTGGGAAAAAGATTTTTCGGGAAAAATGTAATTTTTTTACCTTACCTGGGATGATATCAGTATCATCCCTGATATCATCCCTCTAATCCCGATATCATCCCTGTTCCAAATATGTGATTTATCACTTGCTATTATAGACCTGATATTACTCTGACCATGGTATAAAGTAAATTATAATCCTTCTAAACTAGCACCTATACCCTGGAAAATGCCTAACAAGGTGATGATAATAGGGATTTGTCTTTTTGTGTGTGTGTCTAATGTTGCCCATTGAGCAAAAGTATGTGAAATTGAAATCCTCTTTGTTGAAATAGCCTTTTCGCTGAGCTTAATATGTTAAAACAATGGAGCTTGGAGTTTTATCCATCAGGGGGTTTATTTGATATTGTATCTCTGTATAGATTGTATGGGAATTTTGCTTTCAATAACAGCTTCATCAATAAAATACTCTCATTTCAATTGGCTAGATTTGAAAAGGGACATTAACTGATTAATTTAATATCATATTTTCAAGCACGTTGTAGTGTACAATGTATATAATTAAATGAAGTATTTTTCTAATTTGACATGAGAAATTAGATCATTATAAAACTGGATAGCAACTGGGATGAAAATAATTTCAGAAAATTGAGATGCAATGGTTGTTTCCTTCATAGGTTTTAATGAGAGTCTTTATTGTTCGAATGTACTATTTTTACACTTATTATTACACTCTTCCCTCTTTCAAAATCTATTTTCATTTAAAAGGACATCTCTTGGTACAAACGCTCCATATGTTAAGTTATAACTTGAACAATTTGAAATCAGCCAAAATTTCAAAGTCATGGTGAGAGGTGATACCCATAGAATGTAAATTTTAAAAAAATTATTTGAGAAGTAAAAACATCAACAAAGCTTTATAGATTCAATATTCAAGATTTTATTGTGTTTCAAACCAAACACTTGGTTTCCTCACAAAATCAATTACAAGACATTTACATATAATTATATAGTTAAAAAAACAACATGCATTGTTTCACAAATACTATCATACAATCTAATTTTTTCCTTTTTCAAATAGCTCCCGACTCTGATTAAAAAGTTTATTTATAAAATGTATCAATTTGTTAACAATTTCAAAATCATCAGAAGTATCATACAGTAAATCACACTATAATGTAGCAACCTTTGAATGCACGAATCGACAGATAGTCCATCGTTTATTTTTTCTCTAAAATGGCTCTAAATTTAACATGTTATGTTTAATATGCACAAATTATGTGTTAAAATGTGTATAATTGATACATGTATGTTACATAAACCTCAAATATTGAGTATTAAGA